GGGGAGGATGGAAGAAAACTGGTATCATGACTTAGTCAGAGCCACCTGGGCCTGATCCATACGGACCATAACGTAGTCCAGAATCTAAGTTCTTCGTCCACCTTCCTTCTCGAGCATTGCTTGCGATTCTACCTCTCATGTCGGGATTCTCATCGATGCAGGATCATTAGCACCCCGGTGGCTCTCGAAACACTTCGGGGCCCTGACCCCACACTGTGTAGTAAGTCCGGGTGGAACCAAGAATTTTAATTTCTAACTAGTTTCCAGCTGATGCTGTTGGCCCAGGGTCATGGCTTGCAACCAAGGCTTTAGGGAAAATATAATTTTCTTTTACCATCTCTGTTTACTTCTTCGCCAGCAATGGTTTTAGGTTTCCAAATTTGCCCGCAATAACACTTTTATCCAACGGCCTGGGATAATTACAGAACTCGTTGCTACGACATTGAAAAGATCTTTTCCTTGCAGAGGAATTATGTAGATCCAGTCCTAGGTGCTGTGGGATGTTGACTGTACGATGTAAAAGGAAAAATGTAAAAAACAAGGGGGCCCTCTTGTGGTGACCATCGCAATTCAGAAACCAAGAATCCAAGCTCCTTCCATCAGGGACCCAGCCTGGGGGCAGGCATCATTTTTTTTTCCTTTTTTTTTTTATTGCTTAAAGTATTACAAAGGGTATTACATATGTGTCCTTTTTTACCCCCCTGCCCTTGACAATCCTCTGGCCTCCCCTACCCCCCAATGTCATGTCCATTGGTTATGCTCATATGCATGCATACAAGTCCTTCAGTTGATCTCTTATCCCCCTCCCTCCTGCCCCCCAACCCTCCCCGGCCTTCCCGCTGCAGTTTGACAATCTGTTTGAGGCAGCTCTGCCTCTGTATCTATTATTGTTCATAAGTTTATAATGGTCTCTATTATCCATGAATGAGTGAGATCATGTGGTATTTTTCCTTCATTGACTGGCTTATCTCACTTAGCATAATGCTCTCCAGTTCCATCCAAGGCATCATTTCTGGTAGATGGTGCGGCACTGGGAGAGCTGGTGCCGACTGCTGATCATCACGTATCCTGCTTCCTTCCTCTTACCTGACACCTCCCTTCCCTGCGGGGTGGCATCGCTTACCGGGTCGCAGTGCCGGGTAACTTGGCTGCACCTGTGTTTCCCTTGGTAGTTACATCGTCTCAGAGCTCTGATTCCTCTCTGGGGTCAAGAGTTTGTGAGAAAATTGTATTTGATACTTATTCATTTCGTCAGGGTTGAATATTCTTTGTCATTTTTCAATTTAGGTGTTATAAATGGTTGAATAACCACGGATTATTTCTGGACCTGACTGGTTTATAACTTCAGAAGAAACAATGGGAAGCCAAGAATTTATTGTGAGTCTTTGTTTTTCTTCCTTCCACAGTTTACAAATGTTGCTAGAGTTGCCAGATTGAGAAAAAAACAAAGCAGAAAACCCAAAAACAAACAACCCCCCCCCCCAAAACCCAAAACCTAAAAGCAGGACGTTCCGTTACATTTGGATTTTAGATAAACAGTGAAAGTTTTTAGTATAAGTGTGTGTGTCTCAAGTGTTGCCCTGTATTTTAACCGGCAGCCCTATCTCTTGTCGCCTATTCACATTGTTATACAAAGTCCTTTGGAACAAAGTCTCAGGAAGCTTGGGACCAGGGAATAGTCTCTCTCTTGAAGAACTGGCGTGCCTCTAAGTGCATCCGTGGTCTCAAATTGTTTGGTCTCAGGATCCTTTCCTACTCTTGAAAATTATTGAGGACCCTAAGAATTTTTGATTATGGGGCTTATAGCGATGTCTTTCATGTTAGAAATTATAACAACATTTTAAAAATACTTATTTACTAAAAATAATGAACTCATTTCATTTAACGTAAGTTACATTTTTTAAGAAAATAGCTACATTTTCCAAAAACAGTAACAAAGAAACATTGACAAGAGTAGCACTGATGTACATTTTCTGCATGTCCCTTTAACATTGGATTCAATTCTCAGCTCTGCTGCTGCATGCAGTCGGAAATTGAATCTTGCACTGCTGCACATAAGTAACCTGCACTTAACTCCACTGAGTTTCCCGGAAGGAATGAGAGGGAGGAGGCAAGTAGCTTCATGAAGATAGTCCTGACCTCACAGACCCCTGGGAAGTCTTGGGGCCTCCAGGCGTCCCTGCACAGATCATGCGTGCTGAGTAACCAGCACATTTTCCCGTTCCCGCTGATGACGAAGAAGCTCAAAATTACGTTTGTTACCAGTTAACTTCAGTTTTTATTTAGAATTTACTTCTCCTTTCTCCACCCCCTTTGCCTTTTGCTGCCTCATTTCTTTTTTTTAATGGATTTATTTTGTTATTGTTATGCTATCTGTGTTTTTATATTGGTAAAAGATGTCCTAAGTATAGTTTTTGGTAGAAGGGTATACAATATGTAACGTTTAACATCCATATATAGAAATCATTTCTTCACTTTGTGCTTTTGGAAATAGGTACTGTATACTCATCAAAAGGCGAAGAAGTCAAAAGTGTGGCAAGATGGAATTTTGAAGATGGCTCACCTAGGAAACAAAGTAAGTGCAGAGCAGCCAGGCAGAATCCGAAGCTGCTTAGTTTCAGGAACTGCAGTCTGTACGAGGCCGTGCCCCGTGGAGAGGGCCAGTCCCTCAGTGGACATCTCCACCTTCAAGTCATGTTATTGTCCTTTTTTAATTGAACTTATTGGGGTAACATTGGTTAATTCTTCTCATTTAAATAGATGAATGTTTAGCCTTCCCCCTCCTACATTTTTTATTCATTTATCTTAAACTAATAAATTCATTCACTGTTTGATGCTATTCTGTGTACTTTTGTCTTTATATTGTTCCTATTTGGTTAGGGTCAAGTCTTCAAAATCTTACAGATTTAGTCTTATATTAAAACTAGTGGCCCGGTGCACAGATTCGTGCACATTGAAAGGAAATTAATTAGAAGAAATATTTTAATACCACTATCTGCCCTTTCTCTATAATAGAAGTGTTAACCAAATTCACGATCGACAATGACAGATCGAAGCACACGCGTGCTTTTGGCGCCAGCGAGAGCTTTAATGTATCACACATGCGCGAGTCAACGTTTATTTTTAAATTGCCAGTGCATGTCATATGTACCGGACGGTCGGTCACTTAGCCTTTTATATATATAGAAGGCATCTAATTGGATTCTGAATATCCATCTTATCTTCTTGTGATATAAAATCATACTATTAAGGTCAGGCTAGTGGTGTCCACTTTACCTTCGGTTGTCACATGTTTATTGTGTGCATTGGACACCTCCCACTGGAAGGTGATAGGAAAACAAGATGAATGCAAGGTAGCACCAGAGATTGTCTGGCCCAGGAAAGGTAACGATGTCAGTCTCTCCTCAGCCACTGCTTCCCCAGCTTCTCTTGCGCTCGTAATGCCTTTTCTCCGTCTGTCCAGATCTTACCGTCTCCCATTAATGGCGTCAACACCCAACAAGCATATTGCTGGTGGGCGGTGGGGACAGTGAGGTCAGCCGTGGAGTCGGCGTAAAGAGCTGTCATGCCAGGCAGGTCTCGCTGGCGGCCCGGCTCTCCGCCTGGTGGGTGTGTAACCTGGGCAGGTTATTTAGCCTCTGGGCCTCTAGTGTCTTTCTAAATGGAGCAGTGACACTTTGTGACCTTGTCCCGAGGGTTAAACGAGGAACATGTAAACCTCTAGCAAGCTACCTTGTCAGCAGGCGTCTCTGTCAGCAGGCATCGGATGGTAACTGTTACTGCAGTTTCTGTCGTTAGGGGACTTCTATCTAAGAGCATGAGGATCGTACTCTGTACAGGTGTATGTTCAGGGCTCTGATTACAGAGGACGGACATAAAACTCTGACTCTGGTTTAGGAGTCTTTCCAAATGAAGGGTTTGCTTTGAACACAAAATTGGTAGGTTGTGGGAAGAGGGGCCGTAGATGGTGTCGTAGCTGCAACATGGAGGTAGAGAACAGTAGGCAGTGTGAGGGAGCTACAGGCACAGGCTGTGGCTGGAGTGAGGCCCGTGTTGGGCAGTGGCAGCAGCCACATCGTGATGGACGGAGAGCACAGCTCGGGGAGTAGGGAGAACTGAGCAGAAGAGTGACGACCATGTTCCATGTTAGGACATTATTTTGGCAACAGTGTCAAACAGAACCTTTAAGTTCTGAAGGATGAAAGTCAGATTGGACTTAGGGAGACAGTTGTAGTGAAGGGACAGCAGTAATATAGACACAAAACTGACTAAGCGAGAGGGGTGACTAGTGAGACGTTAGGAAAAGATCATAGAATCTTAAGGTCTCGATACAGAAGGTAAGGAGGCTCCAAAATCAGCTTCCAGTTTCTGTACAATTAACGTACTAGTTAGGGTATCTCCAAAAAGAACGCCAGCTTGGAGGGAACTCAGATGTTGAGCTCCATTTTGAACGCACTGAATTTCAGGTCATGGAAACAGTCAGGTGACCGGCGTGGGGACCTGGGACCCAGGAGAGTCCGGGCCGCTGAAGGGAGTGTGTGGCTTTTGGGTGATGCTTGCAGCTCCTGGAGTGGATTCATTGGTTCATTTATTCCACAGTTTTTGAGCTTCTGTTCTGAGTTACACATGTTCTGAGGGATGCCGCAGGGAACAAAGATAAACCCCTGACTTCGTGGCGGTCACATGGAGGAGACGGACCAGCATGTCCAGTGGGTTAGGCAAACCACCGGGAGGAGGGGAGCAAGGGTGAGGTGGACACAGAAGGGCCTCCTGGGCCTTCCTGGTCACTGTGAGGACTTCTCTCATTCTGTGGGGCTGTGGCGACCGGGGAAGGATTGAGCAGAGACGTGACACCGTTGGTTTGTGTGGAGGATGATGGTCGGGGTGGGGTACAGGCTGTAAAGGGGAGAGGAGAGAGCCCTTGCAAACACCCGTTTTTTAACAGCTTTACTGACATACAATTCACACACTTTAAAAAAAAAAATTTACTGATTTCAGAACAGAAGGAGAGGTAGAGAGCAAGATAGAAAGAATGAGAGAGAGGATCATTGACCGGCTGCCTCCTGCACACCCCACACTGGGGATCGAGCCCACAACCTGGGCATGTGCCCCGACCGGGAATCAAACTGTGACCTCCTGGTTCATAGGTTGACAACCATTGAGCCACACTGGCCAGGCCACACACTTTCAATTCACCCATTTAGAGTATACAGTTCAGTGGGTCTTAGTCTATTCACAGAGCTTTGCAATCACCAGGATATAACTTTAGGGCATTTTTGTCACCCCCCCAGAAATCCCATACCCATGGGGAGTCACCACTCGGTACGTGACCCAGCCCTAAGCAGCCACTGATCTCCTCGCTGCCGGAAGCTGTGCCTGGTCTGCCTGTCACGTGACTGCAGTCCCAGACCATGCGGACCTCTGCCAGCTGCTTGTGATGTCATGCTTCAGTGTCCATCCATGTTGACTGTGTATCAATGCTTTATTCCTTTTTCTTGCCGAGTAATGTTCTGTTGTATGGATTTCCCACATTTTCCTTATCCATTCGTCAGCTGACATACATTTGAGTTGTTTCCTCTTTGGCTATTAGGAATAACGCTGGTGTGAACATCTGTGTGCAAGTTTTTTGAAAACATGTTTTTCATTTCTCTACTACCCAGGTGTGGAATTGCTGGGTGATGGGGGTCACTCTGTGTTTAATTGTTTAAGGAACGGCCAAACTCCCCAAGTGATGGGAACAGCAGTATTGAAAGGGCTAGTGGAGGAACTGCTGCGAATGGCTAGAGACACAAGGAGAAATCTCCTTGGCTCCCTTTTCCCCTGTCCCCGTGCACAAGTTCTGTGAGGACCTCACACACAGTAAGGTTCTGCACACCCGTAAGGTCCTGCACGCCCTTGTCCTCGTCCTGATCCCCCCCAACTGCAGCAGTCTTCACACGCCCCGTCTGTGTGCTGCCCAGCTCCACCCAAGATCAGGGTGGGGACTAACTTTAGTTTCTCGTGTGCCTTCGAAGCTCTCTTCACAGAGTGAGTGACATTGGAGACAGACACACTTCATCATCCACGTTAACAAAGTGGGTGGTCCTTTCCTGCCGCTTCCCGCATGCCCCACACTGGGGTTGGAGCCCACAACCCGGGCATGTGCCCTGATCTGGAATTGAACGGTGACCTGGGTCACATGTCGACAACCACTGAGCCACACTGGCTGGGCGAGCCTTTCCTTACATGGTTTACTTACAGAACAGTCTTAGATTTTCTATTGAAGATGTTTAAGAAAAGCAGAATTATGTTGTGCCCCATTTTAACATTTATTTTGTTTTAATATAGGCAATTTTATATGATGACAAAGGAGAACGCTTGGAGAGTTTATTTCTGAAGCGCCTTGAGGTATTTTAATGTGTCTATCTTATTTTTTTTAATTTTTACTTGTTGATTTTAGAGAGGAAGGAGTGAGAGAGGGAGAGAGAATGTTGATCTGTTGTTCCACCATTCATGCATTCTTTGGTTGATTGTTACATGTGCCCTGACGGGGGATCGCCCCGAAGCCGTGGTGGATCAGGACAATCTCTAACCGCCTGAGCTGCCTGGCCAGGGGGTGTCTACTGCATTTTTAAGAATTGTTTTAAGGTATCTCTTTAAGAATTTTTTTAAAAATATATTTTAAAAATATATTTTATTGATTTTTTTACAGAGAAGGAGAGGGATAGAGTTAGAAACATTGATGACTACCTGCCTCCTGCACACCCCCTACTGGGGATGTGCCCGCAACCAAGGCACGTGCCCTTGACCAGAATTGAACCTGAGACCTTTCAGTCCGCAGGCCGACGCTCTATCCACTGAGCCAAACTGGTTAGGGCTCTTTAAGTATTTTTTTACGAATGTTAAAAAGTATAATCAAGACACTAATACTAATAATTGTAGCGAGTGTTTCCTGAGCATTTGTTATTAGCCAGATTCTGTGCTAAAAGCTCTTAGATGTTGTCTGATTTGATGTTTATGTGGCCCTGTGGTTGCAGGTTCGGCGTGCCGCACTGAAGCTTAGGTAGCCTGCCCACATTTGCGTGGCCGTGGTGGGGCTGGGGTGGGCCCAGGCGTGACTCTAGTCCGGTTCTATTATGTGGTTTTGGTAGGCAGGGAACCACAGAGGGAACTGTTCTGTGGAATTACTCCTACTTAAAATCTTGTCTCATGCATTGTTCCTGTGTTTTTCCCTGTTGGAGGAGAAGGGAGGGGAACTAAAGGCATTTTTAGTGTAATGAGTAAGGATAACGGGTTGTGCGTTCCAGGTCATTTCTCACTTTCAGACACGCCTGCAGCTCAGCCGTGCGTCTGACTCTGCTGTGGCAACAGGCGTGGGCAGACGCTGGGCTGGGCTGGGCTGCACTGCGCCCTGGGAAGATGCCCAGCCGTTAGTGCAGTGACTGAAGTGTTAGGATACATCTTGTCATTGTGCTGGTTTGGGCCATGGTATTAAGTCTACTTTTAAATTTTACATGACACTAATAGTGCATGTGGTATTTCTATATTTATCAAAAGAGGGTCTAAAAGCACTGTTTTAATAGGTGATTCATTGGTGGTAACTGTTATTATTTCATTTAGAATAATTTAACTAACTAAGCACATTCTCTGTGATAATACACAGATTTTTAGCAGCTAGGTTGATTTTTTTTATGCTGCCGTCCGAGATGGTGGCAAGCGCTCTACTTAGCTGGTTAAGATGCTTTTTTTTGGATACAATTGTTTAAGCAACTACTAATTTATAATAGTATTTAACTTGTGGTATTAAAGATATATAATTGACATTTAGTAGCTCTAATTTTTAAAAATTACATTAAGTTGTATGGATTCTAAAAGAGGTGCTTGCTTCTGTCTGAATCCCCCGCAAATAACAAAGGACCTCACCTAGGTTCCCAGTGTGTTTGTTGAATAAATGAATTAGTGAAACTTTTGTTGTATTATTCTTTTTTGTGCGTGTTGGTACTTAATTAGTACATAATAATACATAAAGGATTTGTTATTGATTGATTCACTCAATAACTATTGAATATCCATTGTGTGTTACTAGTGCTATAAGCTTACAAGAACACATAGGCCATCCAGTAACTGTGTGTGTGTGATTTTGACTTTCATTCTTTAACGTCTAGGTAAAACCTGGAGACAGCTTAGAAAGTGAGCGATACTTAATCACAGTGGAGGAGGCTAGAGCTGCTGGAAGCACAGCTGTTGGCCAGGAGGACATTCAGGAAGCACGAGGGTCCCGTCCACCACGGTCCATGCCCTGCGGCCGGTCCCTCGGGTGTCAGCCTGCCGGTTTGAAAAGGAAGTTTACTGTAAGTGTCTCTGTGAGAATAATGAATCAATATATACCTGTATTTCATTTCAAGAAGTCGTGAATTTTGAAGTTGTTGTAATCTAATGAATATGGTACTTTATATGTTTAGGTAGAAAGTAAACCCTAATTAGGAAAAATCTTAATAAAAATGAGTTTACATTTCAACTTTGTGAATTTTATATATTAATTATTACTTTACCTTACAAAACATACACATTCATTTTTCTTTCCTTCTTTTTTTCCCAGCCAGTACGTTTCACATTTTCTTTATAGGCAATAGGACAGCTAATAATTGTTTTATTATTTTTAGGGTTTTCAAGGACCACGGCAAGTACCAAAGAAAATGGTTATTATGGAAAATGGCGAATCAGCCGCGTCACTTGAGGCTGCAGCCCCTGCCCCTGCTCTTCTCGCTCCGTTCTCGAGCACTCCTCCTCTGTTTGCTGCTGCTGGCAGGAAAGAAGTCAGCAGCATGCCAGCAGACCTCAGGAACATTGTCGTCTGCAAGGACGGGAGGAGTGGCCTGCCGGTTTCTCCCGTCGGCTCTGCCCCCTCCTCCAGGAGTAACCCCGAGAGGCTGAGGGAGGAGGGTCATCTTTGCTCTCCTGTCAGTTCTGCAGTCAAGGCCGCCATTTCTTTACTGCCCGATGAGCCCACGAGAGGACATCACTGGGCACCTCGCTGTTTAGGAGACACACAAAACATCAGGAGCAAAGCACAGATCCTGGCTCTGCTGAAGTCCACGCCAGCCAGTGTGTCTGAGGAAGTGGACGCTGAGATGTCAGCACGTGTCCCTCGAGCACAACCACAAGGAAGCTTACACATTACTCCTAAACCAAAGTGCTTCGTTGAACAGGGCGCGTGTGCTGCGGGGAGAACAGAGAGCTTGCAGTGCCAGCGACCACCAGAGAGCACTGGGAGCAGGGGCAGCCGGTGGGCTGTGTACTTATCCCCACAGCCTCCGCCTGCTCATTCTTCTGCTGTAGCTGGAGATGAGCTGGACAAGGAGACCCAGGCTCAGGGAGATGACCTCAGTTTAAATCTGAGAGACTTTTTGGGACAAAAAAGGATCCAGTTGTTCGAAACAGGTGCTGAAAATGTGGAAAAGTTTAATGGAGACAAGCTGGTAGACAATGCTGATTCATCCTGGGATCGGGAAGTAAAATTAGAAATTCCTTCATTCGGTGAAAGCTTATCCGTTACCCGTGGCAATTTGGGAAAGGATGGCTTAGTGTCAGGGTCCGACATGCAAGGAACTGTTCAAATGCCTGTTAATCAGGATGACCAGGTGTGCGTAAAAAGATCCGCTCTTCCTAGAGAAAATGCTCAGGAGATAGGTGCCTGTGGGACGCCAGGAAGGGCGTGTGAACAAGCAGTGTCTCACCTGCCAGCATCTGAACGTCCACAGTTTGAATCTTCACTGAGCGACAACTCTCAGATCTCTGAAGCCGTCACTGACTCGTTTTCTAGGACGAATACGGACCGTGAAAGTCTTAGTATTCATGGACCCGTGAGTCATGTAACACAGCCAGTTTTGGAGGTAAATTTTAATCTGAACAATTTTGAAACCAGTGACACGGAAGAGGAACCCCAGGAAAGCAACAGAATGTCCCAGGACCCAGAGGATTGGGAAAGGGAGGCCTTGGCTGATGCCTGCAGTTCAGGGGTTCAGAGGCGATGTGAGGGTGTGCGCTGTGAGGAGGGTGGCGGTCCTCTCTTAACGCCTATTGGGGGTAAACCTACAGAGCCGTTTCCTCCCCCAGAGGCCCTGCGGCCACAGCTTTGTGGGACAGCTGCACCCACTGGGGATGAAGCCTCGGGGTGCAGTGCCTGCACTGTAGGGTGGACCGATGATGTGGATGCAGGTAAGGAAGCTGCTAATAGCCCTACCCACAAAGTCAGAAGTGACTGTGATTTTGCTTCACTCCCGGATAAATCTAAAGTCATAAATTCAAATTTATATATTCCTCGTTTTTTAAACATAGACACTAATCAGACTCCTGAAAGCAGCCTATTTTCAGAACAGACTCCACCTCGGCCTTTTTTTATGGGATGTGACTTAGATACAAATGATGCACAGGTTTTACCGTCCACCTCTGGCAGTGACGACAGTATCCAGCGATTACATGCCAGTCAGAGTCACCTGGACGAATGTATTGCTCTTGATAAATCAACCCCCCAAGTTTCCAATTCTTTGTTTCACCCTCTGGGAGGAAAGCATCCTATTTCCAGAGACACAGGAGCACATATTGCTGAATCTGAAGATTTGGGAGGGACTCCGAGTTTACCCCATGACCGTGTTGAAGTAGATTCCGCTGGAGCAAGCAGACAGTCCTGGGATCGTCCTAGGGATTCTTCAGAACTCTCTGGATTAGTAAGCAGTATTTCCCTTTTAAAGTCACTGTCTGAACACAGTACAGCTTTAGAAGGCTTGGAAATGCTGAAAAAGAAAAATCCTGCCTTTAAACAACAAGCGACCCTGGAGACGCAGCCCGAGAGCAGCCCTGAAGGTTAGGATGGCCTGTCTGTTTTGGATTGTTCTCTAGAGCTTCAAGGATGAGGAGACCCTTGCTCTGGAGGCTACGTTAGGGAATTACGTAGCATTCAGATGGGTAATACATGTCCTTGGTCAGCCGGTCCAATAGAGCAGCGGTTCTCAACCTGTGGGTCTCGACCTCTTTGGGGGTCGAACGACCCTTTCACAGGGGTCGCCTAAGACCATCGGAAAAACACATATGTAATTACATATTGTTTTTGTGATTAATCACTATGCTTTAATTATGTTCAATTTGTAACAATGAAAATACATCCTGCTTATCAGATATTTACATGACGATTCATAACAGTAGCAAAATTAGTTATGAAGTAGCAACGAAAATAATTTTATGGTGGGGGGTCACCACAACATGAGGAACTGTATTAAAGGGTCGCGGCATGAGGAAGGTTGAGAACCATTGCAATAGAGGATAAGATGGTGAAAAGGAAGTCTTCCTTTCACACTCCCGCAGCCCACTCAGCGCGGTTTCCCCAGAGTGCCCTCCGCATGTCTGAAGACACATGTAAGCAGACGTGTTTTATGGGCCAGTCCTGACATACATTTTTGGACATGTGCTGGGAGCTGCTACTTTTTAAAAAGTCGTGAGGTTACAGTGATTGTCTCTAGTTCCACTCCCACTCCTTAGGGCTCTCTTTCCTCCATCCCACAATGTGTTCCTTTGTTCCCACCGTGAGAAAAGGCCAGGTTCCCGACCACATCAGTCCATTTCCTTCCTCAGTCTGCACCACACGGTTCCAGATTGCACACCAGTGTCACTGCAGCACAAATCCTTTACAGTTTTGTGTTTTTAGACTATCTCCTCCTGTGAGTACAGAGCTGAGTATTACGTTCAGTAGTTACCTGGGTTACTTTTTTCTCTTCCGGGTGATTATATTATTCAGTATAAACATAGTTCATTAGGCTTTTTTGGCCATCCTTGTTGGTTTGTTTTTATTTCTGTGTAAAATACTGACCTGGTTCAAAAGTCAAAGCCAGGCGTGTGCTCCTGCCTTAGGCCTTCCCCCTTCCCGTCCTGCTGCTGTAGTAGCTGCTGTGTCACACCCGTGCTTCCTTTTTTTAAAAAAAAAAATATATATATTATTGATTTTTTTACAGAGAAGAAGGGAGAGGGATAGAGAGTTAGAAACATCGATGAGAGACGTCAATCAGCTGCCTCCTGCACGCCCCCACTGGGGATGTGCCCGCAACCAAGGTTCATGCCCTTGACCGGAATCGAACCTGGGACCCTTCAGTCCGCAGGCCGACGCTCTATCCACTGAGCAACACCGGTTCGGCCCGTGCTTCCTTTCACAAACAAACAGCTCCTCAAGGATCTCCTGTCCCTTGTTCAGCAGAGGGCGCCACGCTCTGTACTGGTCAGCACCTTGCCTCTCACCTGGCAGTGCCTCCTGGAGGTCACGCATGCACAGGCCTCGTTCTGTTTACAGCTCTGAGGCTCCTGTGGACGGGCCATCGCTGATGCACCCTGTCTCTGGTGTTTCCTGTCACAAATAACGTGACAGTAAGTCACCTGATGTGTCCATATAAGTATGTGGCTTTCTGCATATTGTTGGAAGTATGCGAATATGTAGCCGTGGGCCTGCGGGTGGAAATGTCTGTAAATACTGCACAGTCACCGTTTCTCACCCCCCCGGCATGGACGGCAGCCTGTTTCCCCACGGCCTCGCCAGCCTCGTGGGCGAGAAGTGGCATTTCACTGCATTTACATTTGTATTGCTATTACTACAAGGGAAATGGATCCACTTTTCATATGTTTAAGCAGCATTTGTATATATATATTTTCATGTCTTACCTCTTGTCAGATTTTTATTTTTTTTTTTATTTTTTTTTAAATATATTTTATTGATTTTTTTTTTACAGAGAGGAAGGGAGAGGGATAGAGAGTTAGAAACATCGATGAGAGAGAAACATCGACCAGCTGCCTCCTGCACACCTCCTACTGGGGATGTGCCCGCAACCAAGGTACATGCCCTTGACCGGAATCGAACCTGGGACCTTTCAGTACGCAGGCCGACGCTCTATCCACTGAGCCAAACCGGTTTCGGCCCTTGTCAGATTTTTAATAGTGGTTTTTATTCTTGTTGATTTATACATGTTCATGATATATTATGTATTAGCCCATTACCTGTGATATATGTTGTAAATATTTTCTTTCAGTAATCATTGCTCTTTTTACTTTGCTTATGGTATGTTGCCAACAGTATTTTTAAAAAGAAATAATACAGAACATTAGTAAATACAGTAAACATTATGTACACCTGAATGTGAATGAATAATGTACAATACTCAAAGAAAAGTTAAAATTAAACTCTTAATTGACTAGTTCAAGGAATTCCTGAGAAAAATAGGAATAAATTATTATAACTGCTAAATGTTTCTTTAAAATGTAGTTAAATTTGATGATCATTACAGTTTATTTTCTAAAAAATTAAAGGAAAAGTCTGAAAAATAAATATGGGTAGTTACAATTATACAATACCATAAGGATACAAATTCCTATGAAGATTTAAGGATTTTAGAATTTAATTTTGGGAAATCTCTTTTTTCCTCATCAAGGTGGAAAAGAGGGTCCCAGACATTCTCTTTATTTGCAGTAGTTATGTTACATAAAGTCACCGCAAACACGATGAGCCATAGCTTTCAGGGGAAATACAGGATTAGGTTCCTTCAGACCTCAGGTCAGAACATTGTCATGAACCCATAAATACAAAGTCCTGTGTTAGTGTGTTAAAGACCCTGTAATTTATGTAGTTGATTCATTAACATCGAAGTCATAGCCAACAGCTTTATGACAAAAATTGGAAAATGTGGCACTAAATAGACCAGGAGAAGACACTGTTTACAGTAGAAGCGCTGAAACAAGAAGTCAAATGCTAATTTAGAATTTGTTCCCTGGGTGGAAGTGGTAAAGGAAAACCAGCTTTTATCCAGTGCCTTTTAAAAAATCCTCAGAGATAATAAGATAGAAAGAGAGAAACATTAATGTAAGAGAGAAACATTCATTGGTTGCCTTTCTGTATGAACCCTGACCAGGGATCAAACCAAAACCCAGGCCTGTGCCCTGACTGGGAGTGGAACTGGCAGCCTTTTGGTGCACAGGACGACACTCAACCAGCTGAACCACACCAGCTGGGTGTCCAGTTCCTTGTTAAAGCTCTTTAAATAAATAGCTTCAAGTTCTAAAATCCACTTGTTTTTGCTTCATTTATTGTTTTCAACAGGAAAATAATGAAACAAATGGCTAAAAATGAAGTTATAGCTATGATAAGCACTTTAAAATGATAGTCTTCTTGGTGCATTTCGTAGAATTGAGGTGGTTGAGTATGGACGTTTTTAGAAGAAAAATCTATTTTTAAGCAGATACCCATCTGCACCGCTCGTGTTTTCTTGTCTTCGGTCTCAGCTGCAGTGTTACTCCCCATGAGGGGTCTTCCCGTCGTCCTGTCTACACTGCTCTCATTCTTCATGGATGGGAACCTTTGTGTCTCAGTCTGGCTTTGCCTGGTTTATTTATTTCCTGTGTCCCTCCCTTTTTGAGGGACCTTGTTTGTCACACTGTTTGTCCAATGCCTGGCCCACTGGGCATAGGAAATCATTGAAGATTTTTTTAACAGTTATCAAGACTTTGCCACATCTTAAAACTTAAATTTTATTCCTTGTTTCATTCAATTTTAGAAATAAGTTTTAAGAAAATGTCAGAGCACTGCTGCGTGTATGTTGAATAAAATCACTGGGCTTTGTCTGTTACAGCTGGGAAGCCATTGATTACAGTAGTTTCGCCAGCCAGTCCCCAGTTTCCTCATCTGAACCAGGATTCTCAACTGGTACGTTACTTTTTCTATCACCATATTTTATTTTATTTTTTAAAATACACTTTATTGATTTTTTACAGAGAGGAAGGGAGAGGGATAGAGAGTTAGAAACATCGATCAGCTGCCTCCTGCATACCTCCCATTGGGGATGTGCCCGCAACCAAGGTACATGCCCTTGACCAGAATCGAACCTGGGACCCTTCAGTTCACAGGCCGACACTCTATCCACTAAGTCAAACCGGTCAGGGCACCATATTTTATTTTGATATGGAATGCTCTGTAGTTCATAATGAGGTTAGAATATACAGAGAATCCCAAGCTAATCTAGGTTCATGACCTCACCTTGTATCTCAGTAATAATGTCTTCATCCCTTGGCCAAAAGAAATACCCAGCAGTTCCACGTACTGTGCAGTTGGTGTCCTAGTATCTTGATAGGCGTTTTCTTTTTCCCAGTTTTACTGAGATATGATTGACAGGCACCATTGCATTAGGTGGAGGAATGCAAGGTAATGCATTGTGAACGATCGCCACAAGCATTTTACTTCTGAATAAACACAGTTTCTAATGGGATGTGTGCATCGGGCACTGCACAGCTGCTCGGACCTGGGCCCAGGTTAGATTTTTTTAAAAATATATTTTATTGGGTTTTTACAGAGAGAAAGGGAGAGGGATAGAGAGTTAGAAACATCAATGAGAGAGAAACATCAATCAACCGCCTCCTGCACACCCCCTACTGGGGATGTGCCCGCAACCAAGGTACATGCCCTTGACTGGAATCGAACCTGGGACCCTTCAGTCCGCAGGCTGACGCTCTATCCACTGAGCCAAACTGGTCAGGGCCCAGGTTAGATTTCTTGCTCCACATTGATTCCCGCATGGGAGCTGATTTTATCACAGCAATTTCCTAAAACCCAGCTTCACAAGGACGTGGTGGTGTTGAAAGAAATGACGTGAGATCTGACCTTGAGTTAGTTTGCTCAGTGTCTGACATGTCGAGTGACACTGTACTTCGCTCAAATGTAAAACATCTGCAGAAGCCAAAGTACTGCCATGGGAACCGTGGCAGGAACATAGAAACACCAGCACAGCCAGGATGGGTGGGAGTCCTGGAGCTAGTCCTCCAGGTCAGCGCTCAGGGCGGGCCCTCGGCACTCCCGGAGGACAGTCCCTTCCTTACAGGGCGGGCACTCCCGGAGGACAGTCCCTTCATTACAGGGCGCTGCTCTTCCAGCAGGCAGCGAGGACAAAGGTGAAATGTTCCACTTGCCCCGTTTTGTATTTCACTCCAGTTTCCATGTTGTTGGTCTTTTTCTTTTCATCTTGATTGTCCTCCCTTTTTTAAATACAGAGATAATTATTAACATTTCCAGCTTTTGGGGGGCCTGTTTTTAAAAATATGGTTAGATTGATGTGTACAAATAGTTTTATATCCTTTTCATCCTCACATTATTAAGACTTTAAAAAATCTTCCTTTAAACAGAATCTTAATTTTATTTTTAATTGATTGATTTTGGAGAGAGAGAAATGATTTGTTGTTCCACTTATCCATGAATATGTCCTGACCGGAGATTGAACCCAAAACCTAGGCGTATCGGGACAATGCTCTAACCAACTGAGCTACCTGGCCAGGGCCATAAATGTCTTTCACAGGTTATTTATGTAAGAAGTGTTTTAATAAAAATTTCCTAACTTAATTTTTACAATATCCTGTTATACATAACAGGCCTGGGGCACAAAATTCGTGCACTTGGGGGGAATCCCTCAGCCCGGCCTGTGCCCTCTCACAGTCTGGGAGCCTTGGGGGATATCCGACTGACTCGGGGAGTGGGCCTAAGCCAGCAGTCGGACATCCTTAGCGCTGCTGCGGAGGCAGGAGAGGCTCCCACCACTGCCGTTGTGCTCTGCCAGCCTTGATTCTGGCTGAGTGGCGCTACCTATGGGAGCGCACTGACCACCAGGAGGCAGCTCCTGCATTGAGTGTCTGCCCCCTGGTAGTGCGCATCATAGCAACCAGTTGTTCTGCTGTTCAGTCAGTTTGCATATTAGCCTTTTATTATGTAGGACTAGAGGCCTGGTGCATGAATTCGTGCACCAGTGGGGTCCCTTGGCCTGGCCTTTGAGCAGCCTTTGCATATCATTAGCATATTATGCTTCGATTGGTTGAACAGACTACCAGACACTTAGCATATTAGGCTTTTATTATATAGGATTATTAATAACGAACTATGACGTTCGCTAACGACTGATTACTATAAACATGCTGCATTCATTTCCCTTATGCACAGGCGCACCATTTCTCTCCACTGATACTGGCTGCGAATATTTTAGTAGCCGGTTGCCACGTCATTAGTCTTGTACTGACTTGTTTGGTGTGCACAACAGGGAATATTTTGCTTTTGGAGAACAAGAAAAGTAGGTTTATTTGTGTTACGCTTATTAATTTGTGCAGTTATTCAGTATCTGGTAAGTTAATGTTCAAGAAAAAATATTTTTATTAAAATGTTCTATTATTTTCAGTTAACGACGACTCATTTATTTCAGCCCTTTGTATTCAGCATTCTCTATCGAAATAAACCTACATTTCTATGAAAATTGAAGCTTTTGTTTTTTTGTGGCCACACAAACTTAAACCTTGTTTATTTGGCCCATGTTAGCCTTTGAGTTTGACATACTTGATGTACAGCATTACTTTAGTAAAGGTTTTTACCCACAAATCATTGTTTACATTTAAGTTATATTCTGAGACTGGATTCCCAGAAGTGTAACTAACCTGAAAGGCTATGAACAACTTTCCTAGGTTCTTGATATAAATTGTCAAATCTAAAAATCTTACTGTTTACAATATAAATATTTAACTTCATGTTCATCGTACTGTTGAAGTCTTTTAAAATTCTTGCAATGTGAAAGTAGTCTTTAATCAAATTTAGTTTTTATTCATTTGATTGTTGTGTGTCCTCACATTTATGTCTAAAGTTTGGATGCTGTGTGTAACTTGCTGTTGCCTTTGCTTTCTCTTACGTTAGTGTTCTGCTCCCAGGATGATGAGAGAAAATGACCAAGTTGACCCAGGTGGACCAGTGCAGTCTCTGCCCGTGAGTTAACTTATAAAACGTAATGTTGCCGAAGTTATATTTGTGCATGTGGATGTGGCGTATCATTTTATGTTTGTGTCTTACACTGTCAGTTTCAAACTTACTTGTAATTAGTTACCGGTCATACTCACTTAGCTGAACCTGCTGTCTTTTGTGTAAATGCCCCGTGTTGTCTGTAGGATTAGGTAAATAGCCAGTCTTTTTCATTAAGCTAGTTTTGCAAACACACAAGCATCACCTGATCCATACATCATCGTTGGCGGTCACAGCTGCACTCACAGCTCTGCTGCCTAAAACCGAGCAGGACAAACAAATCCATGCTGTGGGGACTCGGTCACTTATCTTTTTTTTAAAATTTCTTTATTGATTAAGTTACTACATATGTGTGCTTATCCCCATATTACCCCTCCATCCCCCCACTCATGCCCTCACCCCGCTGCTGTCTGTGTCCATTGGTTAGGCCTATATACATGTATGTAATCAGTCACTTATCACTGTGTGTGATCAAATCATAGGCAGTCAGCAATTGCATCATATAACTACAAGTGACCACATTTTTGTTGGTTTTTTCCCACTGGAAAAAAATAGAGTTTAAACTTTTTCAAGGACAGTTATTACCAAGTATAAACTGCAAATAAACACCATCACTGTATTTTCCTCCAGAATACGTTGCCATTTAAGATATATATATTTGGTTTTAGAGAGAGAGGAAAGGAGAGAAACATTAATTGGCTACCTCCTACACGCCCCCTACTGGAGACCGAGCTAGAAACCTGGGCATGTGCCCTGACTGGGAATCAAACCGTGACCTTTTGGTGGACTGACCACGATCAGCCACTGAGCCACATCCGCCGGGCGTCACGTATTGTTTTAGAAATCTGTTGTAATCTCACAGTCATGGGAAAGGTCTTATAGTCTTTCAAAGTAAAATTTTAATCTTTATTTCTGTAATTACTTTCTTACTACACTTACCACAGCTGTCTTGAAATTAAAATGTTGCCAATATCTTGTGTTTTTTGGTTGCTAGATGATTCATTCTTTAAATAAACTGTTACACTGTTTATAGTTTTTCCTCCTTTAATTTCATACTAATCTTTGAATTAAATAATTCTCATTAACATCAGCTTTAGGTTTGATGACTGATTTATAATGAACCCAGTAATTTTTTCTAGTGTTAAAGGTTCAATGACAGTTTTAGAATCAGGATTTTCCCAGGCGTTTTGAGGTTCATTAGCATGGCACCTCCTCTGTAGAGCAGCCCTGTGCCGGGGTGGCTTGTTACATGTCTAGAGAGACAGAAGCAAGATAGAAGTGACAAGTGTGTTTCAAAGGCAAACCTAGCTTCCAGTTTGGAGCATTTTCCCATCAAACTCCTGAACACACACACTGGTCTTTTATTCTAGTTCTTTCCCTTGGGAAGTGAAGAAGAGACTGTTTTTCCAGCTGTTACTCCTACACAAAGAGAGAGAACAACCTGGGACCCTCAGGTAAAACTTGTGAAGAACATTGGTTTTCTAACTGAATGTGTTTTCCTGCGGTTTTTCACACAATCATCAGAGCTTTCATAGGCAGGGGGTGGTGAGCATAACAGTACCCCTGGTTTTAAGAATAAGAGATGAGAGGGTTCTGACCCTAGTTAGGTCTTGAGTCCTCGCTGTGTTACTAGTGACCTAACCGGTGGGTGTGCCTAGGAGGCCCGAGGGGCTGGCCATAGGGCTGTGAAGTGCAGTTGATGACAGTTCCTCACAGCCGTGACCTGTAGCGCCCACACGCTGACGTGGCGCACAGGTGCCCATAGCCCAGCCCTAGGGGGCGCTGGAGAGGCAGCATCCCCGCCTGGCCTCAAGCTGACTCTACTCCTGCACCCAGCGACTCGGGAGGGAGCCACAGGCACCGTAGAGCCAGGCATCCGTGTGTGTGTGGAACGTGCCTTCGCCAGCACAGCAGACGCTGTACAGTGGAATGCGTATTTTTAAAATTCAGAGTAATGTTTTCAACAGAAGTCCTGGAGCATTTTAGATTTGATTTTCCTTTCAAATGTGTGACCTAGAATATTTATTTTTAACTAGGAGAATATTCCTATTATGCCTTATGGTCATTTGTTTCATTTATCAGTTAGAAATAAATTCGTCCTCTTAGGTACATTCCTTTGGCTCGATTAGCCTTCTTACTTTTCCAGTTCTGGGTAGGCTCGGTCCCCCGTGTGCTGTGAAAACGCCAGCGCTCTCCCGGGAGTGGGGAGCAGCAGAGAAGGCTGCAGCCTGAGAGCTGGCCGCCCGGGCAGCGCCCCCTGCTGCCTCTGTTGGGGTGACGCTCAGGCCTTCGCTCTCCCAGCAGGGGATCAAATCTTCTGGGAGGCAGACCCTCAGAGGGAAGCCTGATACTTACAAACTTCAGGAAAAGGCTCCCTGTGCTCCTCCCCTTCTGCTGTCCTGTTTCTTGCTGGCGCCTCTGCCAAGCTTGGTGTGAGGACTTCCTTGGCGCCGGTGGAGCAGAGGGCTCTGTCCTCAGTGCTGCCGGCAGGGCTGGTTCCGGTAGCAGGAACGCCGCAGTGACCGGCGGGTCTGCAGGGGGACGTCCTGCAGTGGGTGGGGAGGGCAGAGCGGGCAGCGTGTGCCCCTGCCTCAGGTAGCTCGTTACCCGTGCAGTTCTGTGCTCACAGTAAATCACACCGATGGCTGTTGAACTGGAGCCCAGGTAAATCAGGGCAGTTCCGTCCCCTCCAGCGAGTCGCCGGGGAAGAGCATTAGTCCCCTCGTCACTATTTACATTAGTGATATTAACAATATGAACAGAAAGCTGACATGTGTATTGTTTTCTCTGTCTAATTACATTGTGAACACGTGTCCATTGTTCCTCACCTCCCTGTAGCCTGTTGAGTTCCAAGGGCACCAAGTGCAGGGGTCGGCGACCAGCGCTGTGATGGTCCGAGGGCACTGCCCGCCGCTGGGCTGTAGCCAGCTCCCGGGTCACCCCGCGCACAACAGCCCCACGGCCGACGCCTGTGCTTGGGCGGCTCAGCTGCCTCGCGCTTGTGTGCAAGTTGACTTCTTGCAGGTAAAAAGGTTTTTGTTTTTATAATTTTTTATTGTTGAAAGTATTACATATGTTCTCCTTTCCCCCATTGACTCCCTCTAGCCCCACCCCCCCGCCCCAGTAAAAAAGTTTTTATAGTTGCATCTCCCAAAATCATTTCCCATGTGTCAGTGCTAAATTTTATGAAGGGAGTATGTTTAAATCTTTGTACAGTTGTAACTTGAAAAGGAATTCAGTAAATTGACAAGAAACATAACATCTCAAATCAAACTAAATAGCGAAAAAATATTTTATTTGGAAGATTTACTTTTGTAGGATCAGGACTTTAAAGGATCACTTTTCCCTTCAGAAAAGACTGGGAATTTATGACAATAGCGTACAGGCAGGTTACATTTGTTTAGCAGCTAGTAGATTTTTTTCTTCTATTTTCCCCCCAAGTATGACACCAAGTACCTCGCATTGCTACCCGCTAGAAGCCATGCCTGGGTGTCGTTGAGCAGCATCTGTTAGAGAGATGTTTAAATTTCCCTTTCATTAACCATCGTACACGTGCAGAATAAGCACACAGCTCAGGAATGACCTCAGAGCAGATCCACCCTCAGCAACAGCATGACCAGCCTCCCAGCAGCTCCCTCTCCCAGTCTTGCTTGTAAAGTTGTATGTGAGTAGCGGGCAGTCCTGACATCCATCGGTGCTGGTGCCGGTGGCTGTAGTCATGCGTTCCCGGGGCTGGTGGGTGTGCCATTGTGTGAACGCCCCCAGCTCTCCATGCCTCAGGGGCTCACGCCGCAGCCAACACCCATGTGCTGTGAACACCTGCCCACATGGCATCTTCTGTTAGTCACATGGTCCAGAGGTGGGATTTCCTGTCTTCCTTGTAGGGGACAAGGCCCTGCTTTCCTGAGATTGCAGAACTGGTGGGTGGGCGCCCCCAGCTGGACGGTGAGCGAGAGGGGAGGAGACTGGGCACAGGAGCAGGCCAGACACCGAGTCCTGCCTGTGAGGGTAACAGCGTGAGGTTGTCCCTGAAGGGGTGTCAGCAGAAAGCCCTGGGACTTGATTGACATGCTGTGGGGGGTCTGACGGGTGAGCAGTGGGAGCAGAGAGCCCGGGTGACGGTGACTTGGTGTGGGGTTGTGTCAGGAAGCGTGCAGAGGACTTGACAGGGACACAGGTGTCGTTTGGAGGAGACGTGTGGATGCTGCTGGATTGGATGTGGAGGGTGGGGGGGAGGGGAGGGGACAGGGAGAGAGACGCCTACCTCTGGAGGGGGGACCGAATGGTTCCCAGGTGAGTCAGGAGGGATGTCGGTCAGCTCCGGCCGCCGCACAGAGGGTGCAGCTCGCGTGTTTACACACATTTATTGCTCACATTTCTGAGGCTGGAAGTCCAAGCTCCAGGTTCTGGCTGATTTGGTTTTCTCTCGAGGACTCCTCCTGGCTCATAAGTGGCTGCTCACTCTGTGCGCTCACACGGCCGTTCCTGTGTGTGCATGTGTGTGTGTGCACGTGTGTGCGCACGTGTGTGTGTGTGCACGTGTGTGTGGGGGGGGCACTCATTCTCTCCCATCAGGCCCCTCACATAGCCTGTGAGTTCCTTTAGCTTTCACCTCTTACAGGCCCTTTTTCCAAGTACAAGCACATGCATTTGGCTTCCACATGAATTTGGGGGCCATCTGTCAGCCATGTTAGATTTTTAAGGTGATCGATTTCTGGAAGCGACAACAAAATTAAAGGCATCTAAAGAGTAACAGTGAAGAAGATGACTGTTGCGGTCTGGGACAGATCCAAAAAGGTCACTCATTTGGGAGCAGTACCTTGACGTTTAGGTCAACGATAGGTCTCCTCTAGGCCTGAGGACGTCATGGGCGCTGCTCAGTCCTTGGTCTTCCTGCTCCGGACGGACGTCTCGGCCTGAGCCCCTCAGAACCAAACCCGTAACCCAGTCAGTGCAGGTCAGAGTCTGTCATGTTTCAAGGAAACCCAACAGGCTTTCCGTTCTGTAGTTCACTTTCTAGTTTGCTTTTTTGAGTAGCAAATGGTGTATTAGTAAGTACTCAGTATGTGGTCTTAGTGGCCTCATTTCACTTGAACAGGAGACAGGAATGAAATGAAAAGAGTAAATGCGTGCTGCTCACCAGAAACGGGGGCCTGTGCCCAGCTGGCGTGGCTCAGTGGTTGAATGTCAGCCTATGAACCAAGAGGTCACGGTTTGATTCCCAACCAGGGCACATGCCCAGGTTGCGGGCTCAGCCCCATTGGGGTAGGGAATGTGCAGGAGGCAGCCAATCCATGATTCCCTCTCATCAATGTTTCTATCTTCCTCCCTCCCTCTTCCTCTCTGAAATCAGTAAAAATATACTAAAAGATAAATAAATAAAGTGTTTCCTCAGGGCCATCAGGAAGAAATGCCAAATCACTCTTAGGTCAAATCTTCCTCTAGGTCAGTGGTGGCGAACCTATGACACGCGTGTCAGAGGTGACACGCGAACTCATTTTTTTGGTTGATTTTTCTTTGTTAAATGGCATTTAAATATATAAAATAAATATCAAAAATATACATCTTTGTTTTACTATGGTTGCAAATATCAAAAAATGTCTATATGTGACACAGCACCAGAGTTAAGTTAGGGTTTTTCAAAACTGACACGCCGAGCTCACAAGGTTCGCCATCACTGCTCTAGGTCGTGTGGGACAGGCCATAGCCTCTGGGCCTGTGGAGTTGTGCAGCTCTGCACCTTCTGACTTGTCTCCTTCTAAACCAATGACTCCTACAAATTCTTGGTTTTGGATCACTTGGGCTTTTTGCGATCACAGTGTCACCTGTTTGGACACCATAAAAATGGCAACTAAGATTTTCTGCAGAGAGTATTGAACTGTAGGCTCCATTGAGGGCCCAGAGCCCATGACAGCACGCACGTGTTCAGAAGCAGTGAGCACCAGCTGTGCTTGTTCAGAAGCCCAGCGGTAACCCAGAGCCCTCCCTCTGCAGCCTCTTGGGAATGAGCGGGTGCCAGCAAGCCGGGCTGTCCCCGCCACCGCGAAGCGTGCTGTATCGGCTCCGCCACCACGGGCCTGGGATCTGCTTACAGCGTGTTTCTTCTTGGGGTCGTTGCAGAGCTTCCAGAAAAACCATGTAGGAAAGCATGTCTCAGAGCAGAACGGGTGACCCATGGTTTCAGGATTCCCAGCCCTCGCGGCCTTTCTCACTGGGCCCTGGGGTCCCCACTATCGGTTGGTTTGGGTGAGTCTGTCTGCCCTGTCCCGCGGGGGAGTCTGCCCACTGCGCTCCGCATGGCGTGGCCGAGGCGGCGTCTCACAGTGTGGATCACGGGCTGGCTCAGCCCGGGAGCGCAGTTCAGGCCTGCGGTCTGCAGCCTTGTTTCTCTCTGGACAGGTGCCCCCGCCCGCACAGGAGGGCTCAGCACCCAGCCCCGCGGCCGCTTTCTCTCTGGGCTCACACGACGAGGCCTTCCTGCTAGAAGTCCCCGAGGGGGCCCTGCAAGCAAGACCGTCACCAGGTGGCCTTCCCTTCCTCCGCTTGCAGCGGTTCCGGGAGCTCTGCTGTCTGTCTGCCGTGTCAGGGAGCTTTCTCTCTGAGAGATTGTTACCAACTGAGAACACGTTGGACCAGACCCCAGTCATCCCGAAGCCTTCCCCGCCTGCCTGCCTCGGGGCTCTCCTGTGGCAGGTGGCTCTCCCCTCCCCTGGCTCCGGTTCCTCTCAGCTCTGGGCACCCGGAAGCCCAGCGTAACCCAGAGCCCTCCCTCTGCGGCCCCTTGGGAATGTCTGGTCTACACCATCGGTTACCCTGGCATGACCGGCTTCCCTTCTCTGCTCGGGGTCCTGGCAGTCTCAGCCAGCGCTCCAGCTGCTGCTGCCCGGGTGCGCCAGGCCCGGTTCCCCATCCCGACCCCTGTGCGTGACCCGCTTCTCGATAACCCGCTTTCGGTAGGACCCTCCCTCACTCCTCCTCTCCCATGACCTCCATGTATCTCCCCGGGTTCTGAGTTCTGCCGGGTGAGGCGTGCAGTCATGGGCTGTTGTTTAGTCGTGGGTGGATGATACGAAAAAGCTTTGCAGTGTGCCTGGGTGTTTGGGAGCAGGTTTCGTGGGTGTGGCTAGAGCAAACAGTACAGTAGAGCCGTTGTCTGAGACAGGTGAGTGACAGGAGAGTGATACGAGAGTGACAGGTGCCTCCATAGTCACACCAGGAGCCTCTGCATTTTCCCTGTTCTCACCTCCTCTGTCACTGTTGCTTGATGGCTTGTTGGCTCAACTACTGCTTTTCTAGCTTCCGAAGTGAACTCCAGTTTATTTCCTAAAAACAGACACTGCCAAGGAGGCACGTTATTATCAAATAGGAAACAGCCCTGTCTGGTAAAACTTCAAGCCTGTATATTCTCACGCAGCATTATTCATTTGTTTATTTATTCAACACATTATTACTTTTTGCATTTTCAGGGCTATCTCTATTACTAACACTCAGCCCAAACACGAACTCTTATCACATACAATAGATCAAACTAAAGCTAAAAATCTTTTCCCTTACGGTCAACATGTTAATTAGTGAGTGTGATAAATCTGTAAAGGAAGTTACATGGATACACAAACCTCAAACTTCAGTCTCTGGAGAAGGAATGTAAAGTGGAGGACAGTCTGGTCTGGGGTCTCATCCTGAGTGCCAGTTGGTCGTGTTACCTCTGGGCCTCGATGATCTCATTTGTGAAATGGATGATGATTCCCCTCTTGACTGAAAGTTCTCTGAAAACTTCAGTGCCATGTAAACAGAATGTACTAATTGGGGGGAAATTGTCAGCTGAAGGGAAAAAGAAAAAGACAGTTTCAAGTTCATCACCTTAAAAAAGTTTTAGTATTTTCTTAAAATGTTTTTAAGATATATTTTTATTGATTTCAGAGAGGAAGGGAGAGGGAGAGACAGAAACACCAATGATGAGAGAAAATCATAGGTCAGCTGCCTCCTACTTGCCCACACCGGGGATCGAGCCCGCAACCCAGGCATATGCCATGACTGGGAATAGAACCGTGACCTCCTGGTTCATAGCTCAACCACTGAGCCATACCAGCCAAGCTCAAGAGTCTTGTAATTTATCTTTGAAATTTTCCTTTTCTTGAGACTAAAACCATAAAAATTATATTTTATTTTAAAAAGAGCCCTAACTGGTTTGGCTCAGTGGATAGAGTGTCGGCCTGCAGACTCAAGGGTCCCGGGTTTGATTCCGGTCAAGGGCATGTACCTTGGTTGCGGGCACATCCCCAGTAGGGGGTGTGCAAGAGGCAGCTGCTCGATGTTTCTCTCTCATCAATGTTTTTAACTATCTCTCTCCCTTCCTCTCTGTAAAAAATCAATAAAATATATTTAAAAAAAAATAAAATTAAATGTGATTTTTTAAAGGCAAGTTAGTATTTTTGCTGTTTTGTGTAGATACCCACAGTTTTTTAGAGCCTAGGCAATGACTTAATACATTTTATTTAATTGGCTTTTCCCCCAGGAATGGAAAGGTTCAGTTCCCTGGAGAACCAGCACCTTCCAAGGCTTCCTTCATTCAGTAGAGCCCGAGTTGCACTCGTGACTGCGCCCCCAGCGGATGCACCCCCTGACGGAGACCCTGGGCCCTGGGCCGCCGCCTGGGGCTGGCAGCCGTCTCCCGGCTCTCCCGGCTCTCCCGGCTCTCCCCTGTTCAGCCTGTGTGAGGAGCCAGCCGTTCTGCCTCCCAGCTCTGGGCCTGAGGACCAGAGTGAAACCCTTTTGTGTCAAGTGTCCATGGAGGCGACCCCAGGGGGCGTTTCACTTCATGGAATGTCTGCTCAAAGCAAGTGGCTGAAATACCGAAACACACCCCCGTGCGCCTTGCCGACTCCAAGCCAACCTGAGGCCAGTGTCAGCTACGACGGCTTCCCTGGGGCGGCCTTGGGGCTGTGTGGTGGTGACGCAGGTGAGAGACGCAGCGATGCCGGGGACAGCTCCGCAGGCCCCACGCCTCTGCAGAGGGTGAGAGGCCAGCTCCTGCGGCAGCAGCAGGGCATCGGCACGCGGGACTTTGTTTGTGGAAGGAAAGCGCTGTCTTTGAGGCTGGAGTCTGCATCCAAGGCTGAGGACGCTCGGGATGTGTGGGAAGAGTCTGCGTGTGCGACAGGCGTGCAGGTGAGGACGTGTCCCGGTGCTCCCAGTAGGTGTCGTCTGAATTTCCACAGCCAGGATTTACTCCTGGAGCCGTGGCTGTGTGTGTTTGAGTTTCTGTAACATCTGCTTTGACTGACAGTCTTGCCTAGCAGTTTGGGCGTTAAGTGAAGTTCCACATTGGGAAGCGTCTGGTGCAGCATTTAGCCCAGTGGGTTAACCACAGCTCCGACGGTTCCAGGCGCCCCCCCCAGTACTGCCGCACTGTGACTTTATTTTACTCAGCTCCGGTTGCTGATCAGATCATCACTGAGGTAAAGGTACATCTCACACACGCTGAATGTGAGCAATTCTTTTTTTTAAGATATCTTTATCAATGGAAGAGAGAGGGAGAGGGAGATAGACACATAAATGATAATAGACAGACATCTGTCAGCTGCCTGTCCATGACCTCCTGATTCGTGGGTGGAAGCTCAACCCCTGAGCCACACCAGCCAGGCAGCAATTCTTATTACAATTGTAGCAAAGATGGAGATACATAGTGATCCATTCGCATCTGCTAACTTTTTCCTCGCAAAGGGGCCGACAAGAAAAGGTAGTCCTATTTATTAACAGTGCTCGCGTGGCCATTCTTGCCACACTGGTTTCTCATTTAAACTTAGGAAGTTATTTTCAAGGTTTCTGGAAAAGTTTTTAAAATTGCTTCTTTTCTTGAACATATCTATAGGAAATAATTTACTCGTTGGTAATTAGCATTTTTTATTTTTTTTAATTTTTATTTTTAAAAAAATATGTTTTATTGATTTTTCACAGAGAGGAAGGGAGAGAGACAGAGAGTTAGAAACATCAATGAGAGAGAAACATCGATCAGCTGCCTCTTGCACATCTCCCACTGGGGATGTGCCCACAACCCAGGTACATGCCCTTGACCGGAATCGAACCTGGGACCTTTCAGTCTACAGGCCGACTCTCTATCCACTGAGCCAAACTGGTTTCGGCAGTAATTAGCATTTTTTAGTTGTTACATTAACCTGAGTTACTCCATTTCAGGAGATAAACGTCTCTGAGCTGTGCTTCCCCAGTGGACAGGAGAGAACATCTGCTCCTCTTCCCCGAAGGCAGACGCGCGTGCCCGCCGCCTTCCAGTCTCCCGCTCACTACAAGCAGGTCTTCACCTCCTGTCTCGTAGGTACGGCTACTGCCTTTCTGTTTCCTGTGCTGGTTGTGTGGCTGCGAGCGATGCAGTATCATACAGTGTGAGCCGTGTGGCTGTGAGCGGTGCAGTGTCATGCGGTGTGAGCCGTGTGGCTGTGAGCGGTGTGGCTGTGAGCAGTGCAGTGTCATGCGGTGTGAGCCGTGTGGCTGTGAGCCGTGTGGCTGTGAGCCGTGTGGCTGTGAGCGATGCAGTGTCGTACGGTGTGAGCTTTCGTGGTGTGAGCTTTCGTGGTGAGCTCTCCCCTTGGAGTGTGTTATCGCCCATGTTTACTCCAGAGTTTGACAGTAGCTTAATATCAGATCCACATTGTTTTAGCGATGGGAAATGACAGTATTCTCTTGCGCAAGTTATAGTTTTTTATTTTCTTTTAAACTTGAAGTTCTTTTAAACTTGAAGTGTTACAAGTGGTTTTATTAGGAGGAAATTTTAAGCATGATGCCTGATTTGACGGCTCGTTCTGCTGTCCAAGGGCAAGCCTTGCCTCTGAAGCTCCCTGTTCACAGGCTCTTCTCCAGTTTAACAAGCAGCACGTGTGACGCACACATGCAGTTACTGTGACTGATTCCCACCTTCTCTCTGTAGAGCATCTGAATATCCTGCTGTGCGGGCTGGCACAGAGGCTGCGCAACGCTCTCTCTGCGGTCGACGTATCATTTTACACATCGTCACTCGGAGAGGGAGGCAGCGCTGCGGGAAACAGGGTGCCGTCCTGCCGCCACCAGCGGCCCGCGAAGCTCGTCATGGTGAAGAAGGAGGGGCCCAACAAGGTCTCGCTCCCCCTTCCCTCCTGTTGTCCACGAACATTGTCTCCTTAAAGGTGCAGGCACCTGTTGCTCTCACAGGCTCAGCAGAGTGTCAGTCTTGACCAGGAGCCTCTACCTGAGCTTTAGTCACTAACAAACGCTCAGGAACTGAGAGCTGAGTGGTGGGTGGAGAGGATGGAAGGAAGGTTACACCGCGGCCGGCAGGTAAGGCAGGAGGAGCACAGCCAGCCCCAGGGAGAGCCTGCAGGTCGGGAGGAAGGGACTCGGCTGCCACGGGCAGGGGGACAGAACGCACCGACTTGTTTACTTTGCTAAATGCGCACAGTGATGGGAGATGGCGTGCGGTGTCTGTGTCGGTGGCGGTGTGTTCTCGTGAGACCGGGCTCGCACAGCAGCACAGGTTTCCTCCGTGGTCTGCACGCTGAGCACGTAAGCCTGGTTTAAATATAGTTGTCAAACCAGGTCCATAAACCATATTAGAACCATGGGGTAGAGTGTTGTATGTTATCTGATGACATCGTTGTCATACGAGTAGTATGTTGTTGGTAGCAGGGGTCCTCAAACTACGGCCTGCGGGCCACATGCAAATACAAATATTGAATTTGTTCCCGTTTTGTTTTTTTACTTCAAAATAAGATATGTGCAGTGTGCATAGGAATTTGTTCATAGTTTTTTTTAAACTATAATCCGGCCCTCCAACGGTCTGTGGGACAGTGAACTGGCCCCCTGTTTAAAAAGTTTGAGGACCCCTGGAAGGGTTAGGTCTGAGTTTTACTTTAAAGAGCAGAGCAGTCTACACGCGTGTATCGTGTGCGCACGTGCAGGTCAGTGAGCGGGAAAGGCTGTGAGAAGTGCGCCCGGTGCTCCCACACCTGCAGCTGCTCGGGCAGCTCCCAGGCTGGCTGTCGGCAGTGATCACTTTAAATCAGAAAACAGTGCATTTTATTTTCCAAGGAAGCTTACATTCTCAGAATAATGTAACATGTAACGTTTTGATAAGGAAAAAACAAGTGGAAAACTAGCTGGTTTTAAATTTTAATTTATTATTTCAATCAATGAAAAGATTGAGTTGTATAATGACGGACTTATTGGAGTGCATTAATGCCACGCAACCTTTGTGAAAGTCTCAGCACACATCATACAAGCCCTGGCCGGAGCTCATTGGTTAGAGCGCCATCCCACTTTTGCCAAGGCTGCGAGTTCCACCCGGGTCAGGGCACATACAGGAGGCAGCCAGTGAGTGGAAGACAAATTGACCTTCCTCTCCCTCCCTCTCTCTCTCTCTCTCTCTCTCTCTCCCCTCCCCCCCTTCCTCTCTCTCTCTCAAATCAATGAATTTTAAAAAAAGGACTTTCCTTTTAAAAAACCAGTATAAAGTAGAAACACTTTTTCTCGCTGAATTGTATGATCTCCTCAGGGCCGTCTCTTCTACGCCTGTGACGCGCCCAGAGCGGACAGGTGTAACTTCTTTAAGTGGCTTGAAGAGGTGGCTCCGGGACACGTCACACAGGACTCTCCGCCCGCCCTGGTGTTAAGTGATGTGAAGAGCATCGGCTTGTACCTGAGAAGCCAGAACGTCCCCGTCTACGAGGAGTGCCAGCTCTCGGTGAGGTGAGTGCTGATAACACACAGTGTCCTGATCCGTCAGAAGGCAGTCGCCGAAGTCCTGGGAGAGACCGAGGAGATCCGGGCCCTGGAAGCACACCTGGGTGTGTCCTGCTGAGAGGGGAGCAGGTCCAAAAGCCGTGTGGGCCCCTCTCTGCACCAAGCAGTGTCAGCACTGCCAGGCAGCTGCAGGAACGCCATTTTCTAATCATTGTTATACACAATCCCAATCCCAAGGGCAACCCTACCGAAGCGCCACAGGCACGGCTTTGGTGAGGGCAGGGTCATGGAGGTGGCCTGCCACAGCCCGGACTGCAGGTAACAAGTGCTGCGTTTGGAAACACGTGTCATAGCAGTAGGACTGCCCAAAAGGGAGCTGTACTGAGCACGTGCATGAGAACTTAACAGCGTGCACCGGGAGCTCCCAGGTGCCGGCCCTCAGCTGAGCACTGTGCGTGTCTATTCAGTCGTCGTGTCACCTCTAAGAGGGGGAGATCACAGTTACAGCAGCTCCTTCGGTGCTGAGATACTGTTTCTATCTCAGTCTCTTAAAACAGTGATAATTCCGTGAGGGCTGCTGGTTCCTTCCTTTGACGCGGTATGTTTTTATTTTGTGTGTGTGTGAAAGCATTTCAGACTTGCAGCTATGAAATAAGTTAGTCCTGGGGGTGTCACGTACAGCATGGTGACGATGGTTAGCAATACTGTATATAGTCTGTTTAAAAGTTGCTAAGGATAAATCTTAAAAGTTCTCATCACAAGAAAAAAATTTGTAACTACGTATGTTAACTAGACTTACCATAGTTGTCATTTCACTGTCTATTAGAATTACTGCGATGTACACCTGAAGCTAATATAAAGTATGTGCCAATTATATTTCAATTAACAAAAAATTTGTACCTTAATATTCAAATTCATTTTTGTTTTTTACTCATTTTGCAGAAAAGGATTTGATTTTCAAAGAAAACAGTATGGCAAACTAAAGAAGTTTACGACCGTACACCCTGAATTGTATCCTGAGCCTAAAAGCAAACTGTATCTCAAGCTGAGTCGGAAGGAGAGTTCTTCGGCTTATAGCAAAGGTAGGTTGGCGTGATCGTGTCGAAGCCTCAGGCTCTATGAACTCGCTCTATATTTATCTTTCAAATGTTGTTACTTTTACTTAATTGACCAAGAACCTTTACTTTCCCGCAGAGCAGCGGGGGTGACTGTGGAAGGGACCGAAGTCCTGTTTCCTTTCACGAGCAGGACTAGGATGCATAGCGCAGTCCCTGCCTCAGTGAGCCACCTCGGCTGTCCGTGGGCATATCCCCCACCCCGCCCCCGACACACACACAGTTTGTTCACCTGAATCCCAACCTATGGCTCCTCAAAATGTCTCTAAGCGCATGTAGCCGCGTAATTAGATGTACATTCTGGCTTAACAGAAATATTTATATGCAGTGAAATATAAAACCAATTTTTGGTTGTGTTGCTACATTTAAACAATGTATGTTGCCTAAATAATTGGAATACAACTCAGAAATCCAAAATTGTCCTGGAAAACTAAAACAGTCAAAAAGTACAAATATTTAAAACTATAATAAAAATTAATATTTAGTTGTGTAATTTATTATCTGTATACTCATAATAAACATTACTATCCTAATCTTAGTTTTGCTCACAATTTTTAGCAAAGATGATCTATTTTAAAAAGCTACAATTTCCTCTTATTCCATTATTATTTTAAATGTATCTCAACATTTATTTTCAAGGCAAAGAAACACAGACCTAATTCACTTCATGATAAGTACAAATGAGGAAATCTGAGAATTATAACCTCATAATTCTTTTATAAAGGGAACAGTCTGGGCATATTTTTAAAAATCAATTTATGCAACCAATGCTACTCCCAATAAATTTAATGAAAAGGGAAATGGAAAAAATCAATTTATGAAGTTGGCTTATGGGAAAGTTATGTAACCCTAACTTGAACAAACTTAAAAAGGAAACAGACAACAACAAGCCTGCCTGGCCAGGTGGCTCAGTTGGTTGAGCGCCGACCCATGCACTGCCTCGCTTCCAAGTCAGGGCACCCGCCCAGGTTGCGGGTTCGATCCCCAGTGTCCAGTGGGTTGTGTGCAGAAGGCAAAACCGGTAGGTGTTTCTCTCTCACATTGATGTTTCTCTCACCTCCCTCTCTGAAATTAATTAAGTATATATATTTTTAAGACATGAGTATCTTTAAAGAGTAAAATATTTTTTTTTAAACATATTTTATTGATTTTTTACAGAGAGGAAGGGAGAGGGACAGAGAGTCAGAAACATCGAAGAGGGAGTAACATCAATCGGCTGCCTCCTGCACACCCCCCACTGGGGATGTGCCCGCAACCAAGGTACATGCCCTTGACCGGAATCGAACCCGGGACCCTTCAGTCCGCAGGTCGACGCTCCATCCACTGAGCCAAACCGGCTACGGCAAGAGTAAAATATTTCTATCCTCAAAAGAGATTTATTCAAATACGAGTTTAAATCATGTGCTGGTTAAAAAAAAACAAAAGAAGGCAGAACAAGAATTCTTCGATGGTAAAGCTCAGTCATCATGTGGCTTTTCCCTGGGAACCGCGTCCGGATGCCGTCCCTCGCGCCTCCTGCCGGTCCCAGGAGGCAGAGCGGCCGCGTCTGTTCTGAGGGCCCGGCCTCTCTGCTCTCGGTGACTGGCGCTTGGGCTGAGGTTCCTTCCCCTGAAAACCTGGGCTTTGCTTTCGGAGCCTGTTCTCCGGTTTCTTCTCGAGCTTTTAGATCGTGGGAGTGGACAGGCTCTGAGCCAGCTCCCTCGCCTCTTCGCTGGCTTGTTCGGTCATTTCTTATACCTGACGGGTTTCAAGTGTGTCTCCTTCAGGGAACACTTTTTAGGGGGATTTTTGTTCCAAAACAGAAGACTGGCAACTGCTTTCCTTTCTCGTGTCTGTCTGCCGTTCCCAGTGAAGACGTCGTCACCACGGTCACTGCCCTCAGACAGGGAGGCCCGTTGGCCTTTCCTCTGCTGTCCCCAGCACCCTCCCCTCCCGGCCCTTCTCCGTCTCTCACCCACGTGAGCTGTCGGACTCCTCTTTGTGTGATGCCACTCTTCCCTTTCTGGGTCGGCGGTGCCTTCTGGGCTTCAGAGGGAACTCGGAGTCCTGTCCAAGGCTTAGGTGGGGGGTTTGGAACAGCCACGGCTTCGGGTCCAGGTTCCATCGTGGCTGTTTTTCTTTTGAATGATTTCCTGGTTTCTGTGCCAGTATCTTGGCTCCCGTGTCTTTTTTCTCGCGGAGTCACTTCATGCTGCGCCTTCATGGCATTATCACTGAACCTGAAGTGCAGGGGGAGGCCCGGTGTGCCTGCACGTATTGGGAAACGTTGTGTTTTTAGTTCTGGGAAATGGATCTCCATTATTTCTGCAGGTAATTTCCCTCTTTTTATTTATTTCACTAGGACTTGTATTATTCAGATGTCAGCACTTCTGAATGTCATCTCTAAATCGCTTCACATTTCTCTTATATTGTCTGGGTTTTCTGTCTTCCTTCTAAATTGCTTATTTTCTAACGTATCCATTCTCTATGTATCCCATTGATTCTTACTTTAACTACCACATTTTCCCAAACGAACACTGTTCATGTCCTTTTCGGTGTTTCTTGCTCCATTTGCACTGCTGCTCCCCGTACTTAGCCTCTTTCCCAGGCTCACCACCTTCTTTGTCCATCTGTCCGGTGCCTCCTTTCCGAAGGGCTCTGAGGCCCAGTGTTTTCTATGCAAGTCTTTGTGTCCTGTCAGTGGGTCATTGTTTTGGCCTGAGACCCGCTTCCCCTGGGATTTCAGCTGTTCTCTGGCAGCATCGGGGGAGGCTGGCCAGGCTTGGTGCTCCCGTGGCTCAGGGAGTCGGCTCAGTGGATAATTTACTTAACGTCTCTGTTCTGAGAACAATAGTAATAATACCCACCTGACACTTGCATTGTCTGTTGGCCCAGAATGTAACGTAGCTGTTGTGTCTTCCTAACAACAAACCCCCGTCGATTGAGACCTGCGATGACTGACAGCTCCCTGGTCATGGTGCCCAGGACACATGCCCGTGGCCACCCTCCTCACTCAGAGCCTCCCTGGCCCCACCCCTTCCTGCACCCACAGCCAGGGCTTCCTGTGGCTGCCAAGCTTGGGGGTTTCCTGAAGTCCCCCGAGAAAATTCTGTCTTTTCTTTTTCCACCCAGAATTCCTGTCATCTGCAGGGATTAGTAGTTCCCAGGCTTCGTAGATCTTACCATTCCATCAGAACCTCCCTTCTCGGAAGGGGCGACCTCCGCGCGGCCCTGTTCTGTACGGTCAGTGCAGTGGGTCGAGGAGAACGGAGCGGGAGCACACTCCTGCCAGCTGTCGTGACTTAGACATCTTCCTGCAAATTGTGGCAAATGTTGAAGAAAGTAAACATTAGCAAATGGGAATAAGTTGTTTAGATGTGTTACCTCAGTTGGTAAACACTTTTAAATAAATTAGGTATAAAATATACTGTGATGTAACTCAGCTTTTTCTAAAATAGTTCCCTACACATATTTACTAAAATGATAGTTCTCGGGGCATTGGTAAGAGTGACGAAAAGGAAAGGAGGCCAGTGGCTGGATAGGCTTGGAAAGCGCCCGGCTGAACAGTCCCAGCCCAGGACTGCGAGCCCTGCGTGTGCTGCTGAGGCCGGGGAGACTCGTCTGGGCCAGTTAGTTGTACAGGTTGTTTAGAGTCAGGATTATAAATAATGCATATGAACCGTTAGCATTTTATCCTAAAATATATGGACAGTTTTATTTAATGAGCTTTTGACAGAGTCCAGGCTTTTGTTCAGAATGTGGGTTTTGATTGGAGATCCGTTCATCGTCCTCGTATGAACCATCCCCACAGGGCGCTGCCCACGAACGTGCCGTCTGACCCGTCACCTGGGCAAGGACGCGGGCACCTCGGAGAGTCTGAGTGGAGAGTGATTTACATTTGTTCGCTCTCTTTTCTCATGTGTTACACTGATCTCCTCTGTACTTAAGTCAGAAGCAGTTTTTTGTGTTTTGGGTCCCTTTCTTTAGCAAATCCTTTAAATTAAGTTTTTTAAATTGTTCCCTAAGGTTTTTCTTAAACACTTTTTTTCTTCATATTCATAATGGTTGAAATAATACATGATCAAGTTATCGGATTATAACAACAGATACAACTGGTATAAATAAGTTTTAGAACAAAATCAGTTTAAAAAAAGACAAATACAGTTGACTCTCTTTTTTAGCTTTATTTAAAAAAAAAGTTTTTATTGATTTAAGATAGAGAGCAAGGAAAAAAACATGGATGTGAGAGAGAAACATTCATCGGTTGCCTCCCGTGCGCACGCCGATGGGGATCGAACCCGCCACCTGGGTGTGTGCCCTGACCAGGAATGGAATAGGTGCCCTTTCAGAGCACAGGGTAACGCTCAGCCACCTGAGCCACGGCCAGGGCTACAGTCCACTCTGCAGGCATCGACTCTGCTGGTGGTAGACATTGTGCTCAGGTGGCGTGCGGGGTCCTGCTGGCCTCGGGCCGCAGTGTGCGCTGGGGAGTGGGGGTCAGGCTCTACATGGAGAAGGCACACTGTTCCTCTCCGCAGCCTCAGGCCAGCGGAGGTCTGGGGAGGGACTGCCTTCCGTCCATGGACTGCCAGCCTTTTCTGAGCATGGACACCACTGTACGGCAGAACATCTCTCTAGACCAGCGATTTTCAACCGGTGTGCCGCAAGAATGTTCAAACATGTAGTTCCTGCCTATTGAGTCAGGGGCCCTGACCTCTCCCTCAGATTGTCAGATAAAAATTGACAACAGCCAACCAACAATAGCCATCCAGTGTGAATGATTTAAAATTGTAACCTATTTTGTGTGAGATCAGCAAAAAATATATTTTGCGTGTGCCACATTGAATCTTAGTGACTAGTTTTTGTGTGCCATGAGATGAAGAAGGTTGGAAATCGCTGCTCTAGACTTACAGTCTACCTGGGGGAAGTGTGCTGTAGCTATAAGGCTGTTCTAGAAGAGATGAGTTAGATGTTGTCTGCTTTATTTACACTTTTTTATAATGATAAAATAACTTTAAAACCATGGAAGTAATCTAGTTAAAAACATGGAGATGTTCAGGTCCTCATTTGGGTGGAATCTTGCAGATGACAATAACCAGTTTTGTTTTTTGAGAAATAATGTAGGACTAGGCACCTAGGAAGTCTGAGTAGCTCTGGATTGAGCATAGTCCCGAGTCCTCGCCATGTCTGTTTTCAGATGATCTCTGGGTGGTCTCCAAAACCCTGGACTTCGAGCTGGAGCTGCTCCCTCTGAAAGGCTACTTCCCCTCCCGGTGGCCCACGGACAGTGAGTATCGCCAGGCCGCCTGTTATCAGAGAGAGGACAGCGTGAGGTGCGCTGCGAGCATGAGTGCTGGCTTAGGCGGGTTCTTCGATGAAAGCCGAGAAACAGCACCCACTTCTCCCTGGGCTGTGTCCCTGGAAACGTGTGTGCCCCTGGCGATGGGAATGTTTCTGCAGTTCAATCCCAGAGGGCTGTCGACCCACAACGTCCTGGCCCTCACTTCGGTGCTTTGTTGGGGTGGAATTTACACGCATGTACCTGATTTCTAAATAGGAATTTTGTCACATAATTTCTTGTGTTAAGTCCTGTTCTCGTGGTTCACTGAGTTCCCTTGGTTTCTCACGCTAGTAGGGCACCTGGTAAACACATCATTTACTTTCACACCGAGAAGTTCTCAGATTTGCAGGGATTTGAGAGCAGCCGAGCGGAGGGTGTTTTCATGTGGAGGGAGGTTATCCTCGGCCTGGGAAGCTCCTGGTGAGGCCGGGCCGCCAGCCTCCTTCACTGAAGGGCCAGTGCCACCCGTTCGTGAACCTGGGCGCCTCCCGCTCGGCAGCTCTGGGATAATTTCCGATGTCCGGGATTCGGCCCTGACTAATTAAAGACACAACATTGAATGACTCATTCAAGTGTTTCATACACGTTTTAGCGTGTGTGTGTGAATCCTCACCCAAGGATATTTTTCTATTGATTTATAGAGAGAGTGCAAGGGGGGGACGGAAAGAGAGAGAGAAACACCAACGTGAGGGACACATGGATTGGTTGCCGCCCGCACCCACCCCACGGGGGCGGGATGGAACCTGCAGCCCAGGTACGTGCCCTTGACTGGGAAGGGAATCCAAGACGCTCTGGCACGCAGGCCGACACTCTCAGCACTCAGCTGCCGGCCAGGCCAACTCCCTGTTTTCTGTGGGAACGGAGTAGACAGCTGGAGTCCGGTTGTCTAGTGGAGTGAACACTGGTCACTTCAGAGTCCTCAGCAATATCAGTGTCCAGTCTCCTGCTTCCCATACAGTTCTATGAAGTAACTGAAGAAATGCAACAAAGTGCTCAGAAATGACACATGCTGCAGGTACAGGGCGGGTGCTGACTGGTGGCTGCGCATGTCACCCGCGTGACTCCACAGTGTCTGTCCGTCTGTCCACGCCCCTCCGGGCACAGTCACGGACCCACACTCAGTGTGCCTGTGCAGACAGCGGGACACAGACGGCAGGACGGAGGCGCGTGTGCCAGGGGCTTGCTGCGGCCTGGGGCTGGTCCAGCGCCGGCTCTGAGCTGCGTGGACACTCCCTAAGGTGATCACGGGCTTGGTCGTGGGCACTGACGCTCCTCTCCACGCCCTCTCCGCAGCGGTTGTCCACGCGCTGTGGGTCTGCAATGCCAGCACGGAGCTGACCACCCTGAAAAACATGCAGGAGCACTTCAACCCCGCGACCCTGCCTCTGACACAGCACCTGTTGGCCATGTAAGTCCTTCCCCTGCGGGCGGGGCGGGGCAGGGATACCCAGCAAAAGTACATCCCATTTTGCAGCAAAATTGTAACTGTCTTTCAGAGACTAGGAGATGGAAGGGGGGAGAGAACGAGGGAAACATCAGTGATGAGAGAGAAACATGGATCGGCTGCCTCCTGCACGCCCTACACTGGGGATGAGCCCACAACCCAGGCCTGTGCCCTAACCCGGAATCGACTCAACCACTGAGCTACACCAGCCGGGCCAAACTTTTAAGTACAGTGGGGCCTTGACTTACGAGTTTAATTCGTTCTGAGACCGAGCTCGTTAAGGAGCTGTTAACTCAAATTACTCTATCAACTCAATGCAAAAAATCGGCCGAGAGACAGCTGGTATCTCAAAAAACTCGTTAGTTGGGACACTCGTAAGTCAAGGCCTCACTGTAATTATTGTACAGTTTGAATCCAGTATGTATATTGCTACTAGTTTTATTTTTGACATAATCTTTATCTCATTTTTAATTTCACAAGTACTATAACTCCTTTAAAAAAATTGGAAGTGATATTTTATTAAATTAAAATGACAAAACTAGTTTCAAATTGGGAATGTTATGGTCTGTTTGGTTTCATTCTTTTTACCACAATGAAGTCTTGGGTTAAAAAAAGTCTATGTACTTTCAATATGTTATTTTTCTACTTGGAAATGAACTCAGTCTTTATATACTAAAGCCACCTTATCTCTGACAGTTTTACTTGACGTAGAGGCTCTAGTAATTTCCCGAGCCAGTTTGCATAGTAAGGCCTGGGCTCTGTGTCCAACACCACCTAGTAGCTGGGTACTTATGGGAGAAACATTTAATATTTTTGTGTCTCTGTTTGGGTAGATTAGCTGCTTCCTAGTGTTGTGAAGATCCCAATAAAGAAGATGTGCAGGACTCAGCACAGTGTCTGCACGTAGTAGGTGTTCAACAAATGTTAGTTCTTTTCTCACTGGTGCTCACAAAAGGACGTTCTCTGAGGTGCTCGTAAGTGAAGGTTAAGTTATAAACAGGTCTACTCCCCTGTTTCAGAAGCCCCTCATTTTTCTGTGATTGTATTGCTCCTTTCACTAGGCCTTCGTCAGCTACAGTCAGCAGTAAGAGTGTGGATAGGAGAAAATTCGTCCCGCCCGCCTTCTCCAATGCCCACACGCACTGTGAGCTGCCTGGCCCAGGAGCAGCCCTGCAGTTGGCCAGAGCCTTCATCCAGGCCCACCAGCTGAACGAGGACCAGGCTTCTGCTCTCACCCAGATAGCGCGCATGGTGGCGTCGCGCGGGCCTGCCGAGGAGGGGAAGGGGCTGCCCCCCTGCCCCCTCCCCATCACCATCGTCCACGGTGAGGGTCGAGGGGGTGCCGGGCAACACCTGGTTGTGGGGAACCCCCTGCAGCCCAGCACCTGGCCAGCACCTGGCTGTATACGAGTCTCTGTGACTTGGTCTGCTCTGCCCCTTCTAGTCAGTGCGATGCCAGGAGGACTCTGAGATGTTGGGACCCACTTTAGAGGCTGTGAGAGCAGCATGGGCACCAGTGGCCTGTGCCCATCACTGGCGTATTCGGGTTTGACCCAGCATCGGCCCGGAGCCGTCAGCGATGCCAGCGGGCGGCTGTCATGGTGGGCGTCGGTTTTGATGAGCAAAGCCGTTGTGAACTGTCAGCTCACTCCCCATCCTCCCAGCAGCTGTCCCAAACCTTCCTCCTTCCCGGCCATGCGGTCCCCGCCCCCGCCCTGAACCAGGACAGCAGACGCCTCGCCTCCGCACCTACCTTTGCCCTGTTCCTGCCTCCGGGCTCCGCCCCATGAGGAGCTTGACTCTCTGCCTCAGAGCTAACGCTCCACCTGCACCCTCACCCCTTAACCCCTTCCCTCTCAGACTGCACCCCAAAGTGATCGACTTCCTGTCCTGTTCTGAAGGTTTGTATCATGTTCACCCTGTTGACCAAGGTGACCCCTGGGGTTCACCCTAAGGGAGTCTTTCTCGCTGATGAAGTGACTTTCTCGCAACCCTCCTTCCTGTGCATCCTGCCCCATCAGGCGAGTCGCTGGGATGTGTGGTTTCTGTCTCTATGGCGATTCCCACCAGGTCATGTGCACCCCTCCAACCGAGCCTCCACCTCCTCCACGTTCCTAGGGGTGAGCCGGGCCCTGGAGCTGGAATCCTGGACTCCATCTAGCGCTGCGAGTGGGCAGGTTACTCCCTCGCAGCTTTGCCTCCTACTCCCCACGGGTCAGTAAGAGCCTCTGCCTCATGGGTTGGAGGATTGACCTGTTGACTTAGGTAAAGGCTTGGCCCGTCCTGGCAGGTGGGAGGCGCCTGGTAAAGACGGCATGTCATTGCCATGGTCGCCTCACGCTGCTCGAATCGGTTCGCTGTGAGTTTCACCCTCTGTCAACCCATGGTCGTCGGCACCAATTCAGTGCCGACAGGAATCCCCACTTTGGGGTGCGAGGGAGAAGGAGACTTTCTTCAGAGAAAACAGCTCAACGGCGATACCGCTCGGCTGTGAGGACAGTGACCCTGGGGCGGCCCTGGGCCGGGCCCGCGGGCGCGGCTGCTCTGCTCCCTGCGACATCGTCTGGTTTGGCTCAGCCGGGGCCACTGGTCAGCGAGCGCTGGGTGGAAAGGGAAAGGGGCTCCCAGAGCCAGAGGGGAAGTGGCTTCCTGGACAGAACCCCCACCCCTGGCCCCTGATTGATTCGTTCTTATGCAAATGAGGACTCCAAGTCCTCAAAGTGTGATTGGTCCAAGAGGCACTGTCCTGATGGGTCAGGGTAGAGCCACACTGGTTGGTCAGAGCTGCTCAGCTCTGATTGGATGGGGAGAGCCTCAGTCCTATTGGTTGAAATGGACGCCAAGAAGAACTTCTAAGGGCTGGCTCAGATGCAGGGCCAGGCAGGCAGGCGGGCAGTGTAGGCCGGTGGTCCCGGGCGGCTGCTCCCCGAAGGGCAGGTTGCATATGAGGCCCCTGTAGAAATGGCTGCCAGGCTCTTTTCTTTCTTTTCATTTTCTGAGCCAGTTGGCCGCCAGGAGCACTTCTTAGTAGCTGTTTTCTTTCTCAGGATTCACACTTCATAGTTCTGCTCAACTAGTTTTACTAAAACACTCTGAGTAAGTCAGTTTCCTGCTTAAGATCCGTCAGGGACTTGCCCGTCTCCAGGACAAAATTCATTTCCCTGACAGTGAGCAGAGCTCTGGGACTTGCCCTCGCTTCCCTCCCAGCCTCGCCTCTGGCCTGTGAGCTTCTCCAGCCTCTGCTGGAGGGACCTTGTCTTCCTCTGGACGCCTTCGTTCCGCTTGTTTGTCGGAAGCGTTCCTACCTCCACCCGATCCGAGCGGGGCTCCTTCTTGGACGCAGTCCCGGCGTCCTCACCACGTTCACTGTTTACTGACTGTATTGGGGCAACAGGAACAGCACGACAGTCTCAGGTGCACAGATGGTGACGCCATCTGTGCTGAGGCCAGTTTCCTCCCCTCACACTGTCTGACCCCTTCAGCCACTTCCCCCCACGTGTCCTGTTCTTACTGTGCCTTCCCTGCTGCCTTCCTGAGCCACTAAGACAGCAGTTCTCAACCTGTGGGTCGTGACCTCTTTGGGGGTCGAATGACCCTTTCACAGGGGTCACCTAAGACCATCAGAAAACACATATATAATTACATCTGTTTTTGTGATTGATCACTATGCTTTAATTATGTTCAGTTTGTAACAATGAGACTATATCTGATATCAGATATTTACATTACGATTCATAACAGTAGCAAAATTACAGTGATGAAGTAGCCACAAAAATAATTTTATGGTTGGGGGGTCACCACAACATGAGGAACTGTATTAAAGGGCCGCAGCGTTAGGAAGGCTGAGAACCACTGCACTGAGAGGCCTTGCTTGGTCATCTATTTATCCTGGTGCTGAGCACATCCTGGGCGCTCTGCCCATGGTCTTGTAATGACTTAGTTAAATGAAGGAGAGGGAGATGGTGACATTGTTTCTTGTGCTTTCAGAAATGTACTTACGATGCCGCCTTTGTTTTTCCCTTCCTTCCAAACCAGGAGTTTTTGGAGCAGGAAAGAGCTACTTGCTGGCGGTGGTGATTCTGTTCCTGGTGCAGCTGTTTGAAAAGGGCGAGGCTCCCGCAGCGGGACGTGCACGGCCGTGGAAAGTGCTGGTTTCTTCGTCCACGAACGTGGCTGTGGACAGAGTCCTCCTCGGGTGGGTGTGACACGTGAGCGTCAGGAGCTGGTGGTGCACTGAGTTCCCTTGTGGAGAGGGGCCGTCTTCTTGGGCCCAGGTGTGAGGCCTCTGTCTCTGACTCGAGCCATATCCATGAGACAGTAGCCGGCTACCTTCCTCGCTTGTAAGTCGTAGGAAATCAGATTTCAAACCTGACAGCCTTGGCACAAGGACAGGATATCCGCTTGTGTGGAAACGAGTACAGCAGGAGGCACATGCCTGAGAGGTGGGCTCGGGTCCCTGACCTCCCTCACCCCAGGCAGGCCTGGGCTCAGGGCCGTGCCAGCCGCCCGCACCCTGACTGAGGAGCCGGGGCCTCCCTCCAGGACAGAGAGCCTGCCCACTGCTTGTCATGCCGTAAACTCGTGGATCCCCACGCTCCTGTTCCTCCGACCGCCCGGGCTGCTGCCTGTGCGGGCTCCCTCGGGACACCCCTGCCCCTCCATAGGACTTGGGGCCCCGCGGGAACCAGCACAGACGCGATGCCTGTGCGGGCTCCCTCGGGACACCCCTGCCCCTCCATAGGACTCGGGGCCCCGCGGGAACCAGACCCGATGCCGGTGCTGGCTCCCGTGCCGGGAGTGAAAGCCCTCCGCTCCGGGTCTGTGACCGGAGGAGCTGCAGTGCAGGTGTGTGAGCTGACGGTGCAGAGCTGAGCAGGTTGAGTTACGCCTCTGGCACCGTGAGAGGCTCTGAGGAAGCAGGAGCAGGGCCTGTGCTGCAGGTGCTTGGGGTTGTTTACGGTTCCACTGAAACCGAACAAGTGATCACGTGAGGGTCACCAGCGTTTAATGATCTGAATGTCAGCATCAGTAAAAAGTTCGATTAGAAGTAATTCCTATGTATAAATGTAGACTTAAAAAACTTAACTTTATGGTAAAAATGTATAGTCTGTACAGATCATATATTTTCTTACAGATGTTTTATACATACACATTTTGTTTTCCAAACTGGGTATGATCAGTATGTATTTGTGTTTTGCTTTTAAATCTTAGAAAACGTACTTTTGATGGGTCTGCTACATGCAGTGACTTGCTTAGATCATCCGTTAAGCAATAGTCATTTCACCCAAGCGTTCCCATTATTAGTAACATGGTGGCCGGGACCCTCAGACGTAAGTCTTTGTCTCTGAGGAAAACGTCCTCAGCCTGGAATCACAGACAGGAATAAACTGCGAGCCTGCCCTTCACGAAGGCTCTCTGAGGCACGGTCATGAGCTCCCGGCGTGAGAGTGCATGTTAAAGGCCTCTAGCAAATGCGTTCTATTAAAACTCTCAGCCACATTGCATTTACATTGGATGTAAGCATTTCACATTGAATTACAAAACCAAAAGATGCTGTTACACAAAAGTAATGTTAATAACGTAAATGTTACATGGAACTGTCTTATGCTGTTTTGTTTAAAGGCTCCTCAGTCTTGGATTTGACAAGTTTGTCCGAGTTGGGAGCGTTAGGAAGATCGCGAAGCCGGTCTTACCTTACAGGTAAGAAATCGTGATTCCAGAGCCAGAGAGTGCTCTCAGAACACAGCAGCCTTACAGACCTCCTCCCTCAGGTGTTTTCTGAGGAAGAATAGAGAAAGCTTTGTCCTTTTCTGGTTAACTTAGGAAATCTGTTTTTAACTTTTTTGTAATGTTTTGGAAGTGGAGTGAAGAAGGTATTTTATGTCGTTCTTTCTTAGCTTGCATGCTGGCTCAGAAAATGCCACCGAGCAACTGAAAGAACTCCAGGCACTGATGAAAGAAGACCTGACTCCCATGGAAAGAGTCTATGTGAGGAGAAGCATCGAGCAGCATAAACTGGGGACCAACAGGACCCTCCTGGGGCAGGTGAGGGACCTGCTGGGGCAGGGGAGGGACCTGCTGGGAGGGGGAGGGACCTGCTGGGAGGGGGAGGGGCCTGCTGGGAGGGGGAGGGGCCTGCTGGGAGGGGGAGGGGCCTGCTGGGAGGGGGAGGGACCTACTGGGACGGGGAGGGACCTGCCTGACCTTGGTCTGAGTTTACAGAAACCTCAGGTTCCTCTTATTCCTGCTGATGGAGGCCAATGACCACATCCAATTAGAAAATGTATTGACTTTCCTCTTTGTTATATTTAGACCCAGAGATTAAATACTAGCTTTGATCAGGCCTTTTGCCTGGGGAATAATGGTATTCTGGTGTAATATCTAAGTCTGTGAGGTTGACATAAACTCATGACTAGCAGTGCATGGGCTATACTGCTGTTGGCATGAGTCAGCGACTTTTCCTTCTTGGCGTGTCAAGTTGGGCATGTGCTTGACGGTGAGCGGGTCCGTTCGCCCGCGTGCCCAGGGCATCCGTTTACTCAGCCTCAGCGAGAGGATAAAACGTGCGTGTGACCTCTGACATTTAAGATCCTGGCACCGTGGCTTCCTGTGGGTGTCCGAGTGAGCCTTCACTGCAACAGGCTGTCTTCCGTCGCTGTGCCCGTGGCTCCCACTTCTCGGGGGACAGTGGCAACTGGACACAGTGGCCTGTGGGCTCTGATTGCAGGGCTCCCGCCTTCAGTGCTGATCCCACCTGCAGGCTCTTGTTTTCCAAGTAGCTGACGACTCACATCCCTGTGCCCAGGTCCGCGTGGTGGGCGCCACCTGCGCGGCCTGCCCGTTCCCCTGCATGGCCGGCCTGCGGTTCCCCGTGGTGGTGCTGGACGAGAGCAGCCAGATGACCGAGCCCGCCTCCCTCCTCCCCATCGCCAGGTAACTGCAGGGCACGGCTCGTCACTCCTCCCAGGCGCCTCCCAGGCTCCGTTGGAAACCTTGGCAATTCCAGTGCTCCACTGACACTTTCAAGAACGCGGGGAGGGGGAGGGGGGGGCTTGGGGGGCTCGGGGGCTCATGTGCCAGCGCTTTGTTCAGGGGCATGTAGGCCCCCGGAGGACGGCTCTCGAGTGGATGCCCCTAGCTCCCCCGGCTGCTCACTGTGGAAGGTGCCTCTTGCCACCATCTGGGAACCCGGCTCTAGGCTCTGCTTCAGTTGCCTCCTTCATCTCACTCCCATGTTTAGTTTCTGAAGATAGTTTTTAGATTATGGAAGGATATCAAGTAGATAAAAATAAATAAAAAATGACAATTTGTCTTAAAATGTAGAAGATGAAATACTCTAAACTGTCTCAGCCACTGAAACAGTGTGCTTTTAAAGCATCTCTCGCTCACGAATCCCGAGGTGGCGGGAAGAGGCCAGGACTTGGACTCAGCATCCTGTCCCCAAGTGAGGGGGGGCGTCGGTCCCAGTTGTCGCCATTGGCCAGGATTGGCAGGTTCCTGCATCCCGATTGGCTGGGATGAGTTAGGTTCCTGCATCATGATTGGCTGGGATGAGTTAGGTTCCTGCATCACGATTGGCTGGGATGAATTAGGTTCCTGCATCACGATTGGCTGGGATGAATTAGGTTCCTGCATCATGATTGGCTGGGATGAGTTAGGTTCCTGCATCACGATTGGCTGGGATGAATTAGGTTCCTGCATCACGATTGGCTGGGATGAGTTAGGTTCCTGCATCCTGATTGGCTGGGATGGGCAGGTTCCTGCATCACGATTGGCTGGGATGAGTTAGGTTCCTGCATCACGATTGGCTGGGATGAGTTAGGTTCCTGCATCATGATTGGCCGGGATGGGCAGGTTCCTGCATCACAATTGGCTGGGATGGGCAGGTTCCTGCATCACGATTGGCTGGGATGAGTTAGGTTCCTGCATCACGATTGGCTGGGGTGAGTTAGGTTCCTGTATCCCGGGCTCTCACTGTTACACTGGGACTGTCCTGAGCAAAGGAGGATGAGTCAGTCTCCCCACCCAGGAGCCAGGGCAGAGGAGCGCTAAGGCCGTGCACAGAGGATGGAGGAGTCACACTGGATACTAACACATCACCATGTGCTTTCTTATGTCCTCGCCACAGCCACGCCAGGCATGGTCACGTCCCGGTCGCTGAGGAGTGCTGACGCTCAGATTAGATAACCTGCCATGTGCATACTCAGGGGGTCATAGAGCTGGGATGTGAATGTAGGTTTTGAAATAGGGGTTCCCAGACCAGTTCCTACATGGTGCGGGGTTCCCCACCCCTCCAGCAAGCCGTTCTCCCACACCAGCTGGGGGAACAAAAGCTCCCCTCAGTTCTGACACGCTCACCCGCAGGCAGCGTCAGAGCCGCAGGGGAAGGCTGTCCTGCAAGACCCACTTTCGATGCCAGGGCAAGGCCTGGGCTGCTGACCCACTGCATGCAGACAGAGGTTCCCGTGACCCTCCCATTCAGTGCCAGTCCCAGGCCTGGGCTGGTACCTGGTCTTCTGACCAACTGGCCATAACCAGAGGTTCCCTTCATCTCCTTGGGTTCCACTAACTTGCCAGAGCATTTGCAGACTCAGAGGAACATGTTTCTGACCCCCGTTCACTGTGAGAGGCCGACACTAGGAACAGCCAGAGGCGTTGGTGCCAGGACAAGGTGTGGGGGAGGGCAGGAGCTTCCAAGCCCTCTCTCCCCACTCCTCACACCTCCACGCGCTCACCACCCCCCAGCTCTGAACCCTCGTGTTTCCATGGAAGTTTGTCACCTGCACGTGACTGATGAGCTCGCTGACCACTGGGGACCCAGTCAACTCCCTGGGGGTGGACGGCGGGGTGGGGACTAGAAGCTCCATCCCTCCAACCCCAGTTCCCCTGGCAACCAGCCCCGCCTCAGGTGCTCGGAGAAGGTCCCTTAGACACAACCGAGGACCTTGATCCCTGCCACCACTTGGGAAACTCCCAGGGTTTCCAGGGCGTGAGCAGGAATTGTGGGCGGGACCAAATATGTGCGACAGACAGACTGGTCATCTGAGTGACCACGTACATGGTTCTGATACCTGACAAGACTGCAGGTTTCTGTTCGGGAAGACATTAAGCCCAAGCCTACTTCCTTGCAGGAGTTTAAACCAAATTATTCCCAAGGAAAGCTCCTAAGTCTACAGTTATAGGTTCTAAAATCACTGTTTCCCAAAGCGCGTTCCGTGAAATGCTGATTCTGTGCAGAGGAGGGGACACTAAGAAGAGCTTATGTGGAAAAATAAAGTTATATCAAGGGTTTCTTCACTCATAGCCCCGGGGCCTTTGGATACACTTGCTAACACCGTGAAGCCTTGTTTCTTGGAGTGGCGTGGTCCTCGGGTTCTTTGAAATGCGTTTTAGAAAACAGTCAGCGTACGTCAGCGCTTCCTGTCGCTCCTCTAACTTCTGGATTTTGTTTAGGTTTGAGTGTGAAAAGCTGGTTCTCGTTGGGGATCCCAAGCAGCTTCCCCCCACAATCCAGGGATCGGATGCGGCTCATGAAAACGGGTTGGAGCAAACTCTGTTCGATCGACTCTGCTTACTGGTAGGCACTGCGGCCAGGCTCAGGGTGACCACGTCCCGGACTACACGGCGTGGCTGATGGGAAATGACACTATTAGGAGACCGAGCCCTGCTCTAACAGATCTGTGATTGGACTTGTTTAGAAAGCACTCACCTCGCCCACCTATGAACCAGGAGGTCACAGTTCCATTCCCCGTCAGGGCACAGGCCAGCGTTTCAGGCTTAATCCCCAGTGGGGGGCGTGCAGGAGGCAGCCGATCCATGATTCTCTCTTATCATGGATGCTTCTATCTCTCCCTCTCCCTCTCCCTTCCTCCCTGAAATCAATAAAAATATATTTAACAATAAAGAAATAAAAATAAAGAGAGCACTCATCTTAAAGATAAGTAGAACCCCATGATTTAAGTGCTCCTTTATAAAATGAGCCTTTTCCTGTGTATTTAGTAGGAAGAAAGCATAAAGCTTTTGTTCTAAAATAAAAATAAACACCTGTGATCTAACATCCATGCCCCGTTTTAGAGCTCTACTTCACATTAAAAATGTAAAAAGTTCATCATTAATCTGTTTGTAACTGAGGTGATGTTCACCTAACAGAATTAGCCTCCTCAACCTAAGTGGCCGTCACTACACTCCAGTCCTGTCTGGTCCCAAACACATTCCCTCCTGCCCGGCCCCCACGTCTGCTCTGTCTGTGGACACACTCACCACCCTCACACCGTCAGCTTCAGCTTAAGCCTCCTGGGTCTGGCTTCTTCTGCTCAGCACGTCCTTGAGGCCCCTCCACATTGTCGCATGTGTCCGTACTGTTCCACGATGGTCGCCCTTACCCGAGGGGTACTCCCAGACCCCAGGGAGGCCTGCAGCTGCGACAGGAGCCCTACGTACACTGTTTGTTCCTGCACACGCACGCGCTTTATGGCTCCTCTGGCATCTTCAGGTGGCCAGCATCTTGTGCTTTGGGGCCATGGTTAGGAAAACGGGGTGATGTGAACACAAGCACCATGACACTGACAGCCCATCGGGTACCAGGCTGACTGACTGGTGGGCGGGTAGTGTCTGCAAGGGGGACCCGCTGGGCGAGGGGATGGGTCATGGCGGGCGGGGAGGTCCAGGTGAAGGTTTCCTCACCCTGCTTGTTAGATCATGAGTTAAGGTTTGACAGTTTTATATTTTATGATTTTGTGGTGTGGTGGTCATTTACCAGGAGAATAGTTTTAGTAATTAAACAATTTACTATTGTGTTTCTAATTCATGTAGTCAGAGCACAATACGGCAATACTCCCAACTTTTAAAATATTACCTTTTTTTCCCTTAAGAAAAAAGTGCTGTTTCAAGTTCTTACTTTTCCTCATTTAAACTTCTTAGGGTCACAAGCCAGTTCTGCTGAGAACCCAGTACCGCTGTCACCCGGCCATCGCCGCTGTGGCCAACAACCTGTTTTACGGAGGTGGCCTGAGGAACGGCGTCTCGGAGGCCGAGAGGGGCCCGCTGCTCGCCTGGCTGCCCACCCTGTGCTTCTACAATGTCCCGGGGCAGGAGCAGGCGAGTGCCGTCCGGCGGGGCCGCACGGCGTCCTGTTCTCCGTGGTGTGGTGGTGCGATGTTCTCGTCTTCCTCGCCTTTCTGGGAAATGTAATTTTGGGTCTGTTTTTCGTTCCAGATGGAAGGAGGTAACAGCTTTCATAATGAGGCGGAAGCCGCTTTCACCCTGATGCTGATTCGATCTCTGGTTGCAGGTGGAATCCCAGGCTCCATGATCGGGGTGATAACGCTGTACAAGGCCCAGCTGGGCAAGGTTTGTGTCCCGCCGCGCACACGTGCTATCATTTCCGCTCACAGCGCTCGGTTATGTTTGTACGGGTTTGACTGGGTGCTTTAAAACCTTTTGGGACCATAATGAATGCATTCAGAAAGCAGCATTCTGAGTTTTGTCTGTCTGGCTTTTTTTCTGTATAATTAAATGTAAACCTAACAAGGTTTAATGAAATTCTGTTTACAGCTGTTGGGGCAAAAACGCAAATAAACAAATTAGAGGGAAGGAAATGTGGTGTGTGCTTTGTGTTTTGGGACAGATGGGATTGGATCTCTGTTTTCCAAATTGTTCTCTCATTATTACCTTTTATCAGTAAATAAAAATAGACACCAGATATTCATGTACATATAAGTCCATTACTTATAACATTTTTGTTAATTTTTAACTTTTTAGTACTTTTCATTATTAATCAACCCTAAATTAGCATATTCAAATGAGCTTCCGCAATAGATGAACCATTATTCATTGTTTCACGATGGATGTTGTCATCCAGTTGCGCACGTGCTGTAGAACCAGGCAGAGCCGTGCGCGTCACAGAAGACAGTGGCCTTTCCACTCCGGTGAAGACGCGCTGGGAGGGCTCGGCCACGTCCCCGCGGTCCCTGCAGGCGTGACCCGTCTCTCCCCACAGCTGTGCCACCTGCTCGGGGCCGTGGACCTGGACCGCCCGCAGCTCGCAGCCGTGCAGGTGTCCACCGTGGATGCCTTCCAGGGGGCCGAGAAGGAGGTGGTCGTGCTGTCCTGCGTGCGCACCAGGCAGGTGGGCTTCATCGACTCAGAGCAGCGCGTGAACGTGGCCCTGACCCGCGGGAGGCGGCACCTGCTGATCGTGGGGCACCTGGCCTGTCTGAGGAGGAGCCGCCTGTGGGGCCGCGTGATCCAGCACTGCCAAGGTAGGGGCTGCCAAGGTAGGGGCTGCCGAGGTAGGGGCTGCCGAGGTGGGCGCCGCCAAGGTGGGTGCTGCCAAGGTAGGCGCTGCACCGCGAAGGTGCTGGGACGGGGGTCACCTGAGCCCTTGGAATGAGACCCGGCCTCGGGGTTGGTGCTCGGCGGGTTGTGGGGAGCAGAGCACCTGCCATGCGGGGGCGGCTGCGGCTGGGGCTGCTGTCACCTGCCTCACGTGTCCTTGTAGGCAGGGAGGACGGGCTGCAGCAGGCCAGCCAGTGCGAGCCGCGGGCTGCGGCGGCTCCTGGAGGAGCACGCGGAGAAACTCGCGGGAGAAAAGCAGAAGAAAGCCAGTGGGAGAGACGGACGTGAAGAAGCGTCTCCTTGGCCAGGGAACGGGCCTGTGTAGGGCCTCAGTGTCAGGGGCGCCGCCCGCCTCGCGCTCACGCGCCTTGTTTTTACTCCCCCAAACCTGTTCTCACAGAAGACTCAGGCTATTGAAGGCACATCAGACAGATGCACAGAAATACTCTTCAAAAGTATACGTTACTTATGCTAAGATAAGATGCTGAAGGTGATAGAAAAGCTTATAATAAAAATTTTTCTAAGAATTTGCTTAAAAAATAAGTGTTACACGGGGCGGGGGAAGCCTTCAGGGCTTTTCGATGTTGCTTCAGAAGTGAGCGAATCTCTCAGGCTCACCTGTTAGAACACGTACCTGGTTCTGCCAGCACCCTCCCGGGTGATGCTCCGCCAGCCTGACCCGTCACCTGCCACGCGGTCAGCAAGCAGGGCTCACGACGACGAAGCTTGTCTGTCCCCGAGGAGAAGCGCCCAGGCCGGGCCACGCGTCCCTGGGGTGGACAGGAAGGAGGAGCGAATGGCTGCCTTGGGTGTACTTCCTTCTAGCCCAGGGGTGGGCAAACTTTTTGACTCGAGGGCCACAATGGGTTCTCAAACTGGACCGGAGGGCCGGAACAAAAGCATGGATGGAGTGTTTGTGTGAACTAATATAAATTCAAAGTAAACATCATTACATAAAAGGGTACGGTCTTTTTTTTTTTTTAGTTTTATTCATTTCAAACAGGCCGGATCCGGCCCACGGGCTGTAGTTTGCCCACGGCTCTTCTAGCCTCTCCCTCTGCATTTATTTGCCCAGTGGTTATTGGTATAGATGGTATATAATGGATTTTAAAAATATTTATTATAGAAATTCACCTGCTTGTAGAAAACCATTGCTTACTTGGTGCCGCCACCCTTTTCTATGTTCATGTTCTATATGTGTGTGTGTGTGTGTGTGTGTGTGTAAATGAAACAGTTTGCCATGGTTTTTAGACACTATTACAAGGGAACAGTGACTAGTCCTACATGGAAAATGGCGAGGGCTGGATGGTACTTATGCCAGTGATGTCCGTACCGATTTAAAGACATCTGTGGTCCAAGTTGCTCAGAGTTCATTTTATTTACTTATTTATTTATTTACTTGCTTATGTTAATCCTCACCAGAGTATCAATTGCTCCATTGACTTTTAGAGAAAGGGGAGAGGAGACGGAGTGAGAGGAACATGGATGTGAGAGAGACATCGGTTGGTTGCCTCCTGTATGCACACTGACCAGGGCCAGGGATTGAGCCTGCAACTGAGGTCCGTGCTGTTGACGGAATCGAACCCAGTCCACAGGCCAACGCTCTATCCATGGAGCCACACCGGCGAGGGCTATTTTTTTTATTTTTTGTTAATCCTCACCCAAGAATATGTTTTCCATTGATTTTTAGGGAAGTGGAAGGGAGGGGGAGAGACGAGAAAGAGAAACATGGATGTGAGAGACACGTCGATTGGTTGCTGCAAGCACCCCAAGGGCCGGGGATAGAGCCTGCAACCCAGGTGCGTGCCCTTGAACCTGTGACCTTTCAGTCTGTGCGCCAACACGAACCACTGAGCCAGTGTTGGGGCTCAATGTTGATTTTAAAGATGCAGAAATTGCTTACTTGGATTACTTTGCAATAAAAGCGACAGTCAACTCTATAAAACTCTTCTTTTATGTTTGGGGAAAACTGAATCCGGCAAACAAGACTTGTTTCATAGCCCCTCCTTGTTCGACCAGATGGGTGACTGCACAGCCCCTGACCCACGAGCTGGTGTCCAGGGGACTGGTGTATCCCGGGTCCGAGCTCTGCTGCCCAGACCCCTCCCCGTTAAGGTGTATTTCTTAACTTCGAGTCCGTTCTTCGCCGGCCAGAGCACCTGGGGTCTCAAGTAGTTTTTTTCCAAGCGGAGTCTGGACAGTTCAGATTTGAGGCTGCATATGTGTGTGTGTGGGCGGGGGGGGCGGTTCTGTGGCATCACAGGAAGCAGCCCGAGGGCCCCGCCCCGGGAACACCTGGCCACACCTGCATCTGAAGGCACGGAGCCCCTTCTCAGGGGCAGCTGGACGACCCAGTCCGTCTGATGACACTGGTGGTGCCGCCCGCAGTTTACCCCGCGCCTCCCACTGCCCGTTTCCAAGAAGAGGGGAGGCGTGAGCGGGTAGAGGGGTGCTGTGTCCTGCTCGACGCCGGGGGAGAGCTCTGGCGGCTGCCCTGGACCTCGGGAGGCGTCGCAGCACCTCTGCCTCTGCCACCAGGTGCCAGTTGTCCTTGCCCACGTTGTGACACCTCGAAATGCCCCCGAGTAGCCGGGCCCCGCCTCCCTCCTGGTTCCAGAGAGGCAGCTGCACCCAGAGGGGTCACCGCCCGCTTTCTGGTCGGCATCAGGCTGAGGTTTGGCCCCCACACGGCGTGGGCAGGGGCTCCCCGTCATCGTCCTCAGTTCCTGACCCTCCACCTTCCCAGGCATCAGCTCTGAGCGTCAGACACTCGCAGTCCCTGCGAGATGACGCCTTTGCGTAGGAACACGCTGACGCCTGTAACGGACTCCCATCCCTTCAGTGACGTTCTTGCCGAGAACACAGTGGGCACAGGTGTCACGTACAGAAGGGGCTCGGAGGCGGGCAGGGCTGTTCCTGCCTGGGCGAGGCTCTGTCTTACAGTGACCCACTTTGCTTTCTATTTACCGCCCTGGCCGTCGTAACCGACTGGTATATACACACTTTCCTTGAAAGCCAAACCTTTTTTCTTTTTTGACAAGTTGACAGTTGGCGTTCGGGTGTTGTTTTCTTTTTACCCTTTGGCCCCTTCCCTTCACCCATTTCTACCCCAGCCCTGGCCACCACCAGCCTATTCTTTGTGTCCTTGTTTTTGTTTGTTTGATTGTTTTAGGTTCCACATATAAGTAAGGTCAGATGGATTTGTCTTTCTCTGACTTATTTCACTTCGTACAATGCCCTCACGGTCCATCCCTGTCGCAAATGGCAAGATTTCATTCTGTTTTGCGGCTGAGTGATGGTCCATTGTGTGTGTGTACATACGTGATGTATGTGCGCATCTTTATTCACTCACCCGTCGGTGGGCGCCTGGAGTCTCACCGGCATCGGAACCGACGCCGCAGTGACGGGGGCGTTACCTGTGTAATTGCTGGTGAGTGAGCTCTAGTGTGACCGCGTGTTCTCAAGCCCAATGGACAGGACAGCGCTGATGGCGCAGGGTCGCTTCTGGGCTGAGCGTTCGTTGGCCGTGTCAGGCCTGCAGAGAAGAGGCCGAGGTGAGCGTGTGGGTGAGCGGGCAAGACAGAGAGGGTGTGGGGGCCAGGCCTTCTCCCCGAGGGCGAGGACAGCACTTTCCCGTTGTAACCGCTGAGGCCAAGGGTCAGAGACATCGAAGCGGGACCCGCCTGCCCTGCCAGGAGAGCAGCGCGGGGCTGGCACCCAGACCAGCTGACAGCTCGCCCGCCGCCTGCACCCAAAGGTGAGCACGCAGCCCCACGCCTGGGCCTCCGAGCAGCCAACACTCCACAGCTCCCCTCACAACCAGCCCCTGTCTGTGTACTGGCACCGCTGCATTCCTTCCTGGGAAGTGCTTCACTGGAGAAATGGCTGGACAGACTTCCCCACGGAGGCGTGTGGCGGTCTGCATTCTGTTAGAAGACCCGTTTTACTAGTTCGTGCCGGAAAAACTGGTTGTTAACAGAAATGTGTTAATAGCGAAGCTGGTGATTCCTTCACATCAATAGTTGGTTAGAAAATACGTCTCTCGGCTCTCAGCCGACCTCTCCTCATGAACAGATATTTCAGCCTTGGAGTCGCTTGTGAAAAATCCGCTTAAACTCTGCGATGGAACCTAAACTCATGAGGAAGCGCCAGCTCTGGCCTTCCCTGTTTGGACAGAAGAGCGAGCTGGAGACGCACAGCCCGTGCCCCTGCCCTGCCCCAATGCAAAGGCAGCTGGGAATAGCTGGGCGCTAACTCAATCTTCCACATTAAACAAGAATTAAACGGAAATTGGTGATTTACTTGACAGATATTGGATCCTGAAAATTAAATAATTGTTCTAAAAACGTTAGCTCAACGCTGATTTGAAATGCCTGCTTTATAACTAGTCACGAGTGAAGTGTATTTTCGTTCCAGTTGTGTTTTTGGTTTATGTCAGCACGACTTCATTATAAAGGAAAGGAAACAACCAACGGCCTCTGCCACCTCCGAGCTCCTCTTATCCTGAAACGCTAGTGAGGTTGGCATTTTTAAGCTCTTCTGTTAGTCTTAATTATTGATTTTCCTTACTATTTTTCTTTCTAATCTGGCAAATCTGGTCCAATTTCCCAGTAAATGAAGGTGTGTGTAGGTGAGTGTGTGTGTGTGTGTGTCTGTGTGTGTGTGTGTAGGCTGTGTATGTGTAGGTAAGTGTATGTGAGTGTAAGAGAGTATGTGTATGTGACTGAGTGTATGTGTAGGTGAGTATGTGTATATATAGATGAGTGTGTGTGTTGGCTGTGTATGTGTAGGTGAGTGTATATGTGAGTGTAGGTGAGTATGTGACTGAGTGTATGTGTAGGTGAGTGTGTGTGTATATAGATGAGTGTGTGTGTTGGCTGTGTATGTGCAGGTGAGTGTATATGTGAGTGTAGGTGAGTATGTGACTGAGTGTATGTGTAGGTGAGTGTATGTGTGTGTGTGTGTGTGTGTGTGAGTGTATATGTGAGTGCAGATGAGTATGTGACTGAGTGTATGTGTAGGTGAGTGTGTGTGTATATAGATGAGTGTGTGTGTTGGCTGTGTATGTGCAGGTGAGTGTATATGTGAGTGTAGGA